ATTTAATATGTATTTATATCTAGAAGCAATAAATGTACTTCTAAAATATACTGATATAAATTTGACTACTATTCCGCGAGAAATCTTGCGTCTGCGCAGTTGGACTTTAAACAGTTCCTAAACTAGTTCTTTCACAATACATTCCGTACAGATCTTCAGGAGGAACTCAGAAATACACAGGGGCGACAAACAGACTTTCTATACGCAGCATGGCTCGGGTAACAAAGGCAGACCACATTTTGGAAATGGCAGGACAAGGGAAATTTTGTGATTATTATCTATAGAAATTTACTTCTAAAATTAGGTTGACAAATAAACGCAGCAAATTATATCAAAAATCAAGACGACATTCAATTCGTCCTGCATACTGTCATGTTTCGTGGGACACCCAGTATATTGAACACCTAATACCTGGGTGTAGTTTTTATGATTAAACAGATTCTATTTCTAAATTACAGTTGTTTCCATCTACCACCTAAGTAAAAAAATATTCATAATTCATGTGCAGACTTTTAAGAAAAACAAATATAAAGCCCGAATGAATAGTTAGAAATTTGCTAAAATTTTGGAAGACGACATTTAGAAAATCGTTACAATATTTTGTTTTCTTAAAAAAGAAAGAAAAGACATACAGTTGTGTTGTATGGTGAAATAAGTGTTATAACACTAAAGTAAAGTAAACTTTGATTTACTGATTGGTTGTTGTGATTGAATTTTAATTTAAAAAAAGAGAACTTTGAATATAAAATACGTCACCTCCTGATTTTAAAAGTATTACTTAAATATTTTTTAAATAAGTCTATTTGATTGGTTGATAACTGATAAGACAACCATAGTCTAAATACATGAAAATGTGCATTTCTGAACTCTGAATAGCTTTGCACAACAAAGTTTAATCAACTCGGATTCAATCTTAGCTGTATACTTATAAAATTACAAAATAATATGGATAAAAGTAATTCTCAGTAGCTTTGGACAACACAGTCTAACTGAAGGAGATGTAATCTAATTTGCAAGTTTGTAAAATTTCAATAGACGGAATATTTGGACGACTACTTTCTCCATTAATTGAATGGATTTATATTAATTAAAATTATCTCACATTCAATCAGTAATGCAATTAGATATTATAGTTTAAGATAGATCCTTCTTAATATTATACAACTATACACGAGCTGTTTATTTACAAGCGGCTATATTGCTCTGTATGACGATAATTTTGGTTTCCAGTACGTAAATTTATAAACACATAATCGATTATACAGGGTGTCCCAAAAAACATGGGAATTCAGTGACGAATTCGATATCGTCTTTTTAAATAATTCTTTGATTTAGTATAGTGATACCAACTGAGAAAGCTTTAATCTGTAAGAGTTTCGTCTGCTATGTTTACATTTTGTTTGTTTATGTTTTGACTGCATACGGTTGTACTTAGTAAAACAAGAAAATTGCAGTATACAAACAGAGAAAACTTGTCCGTCTTCACTGTTCATCTTGCAGAGACATTATAGACACATCTTTACAGTCTTTTACCCTTTTCATAAAATAAACTCTAGCAGACATAATAATATTATGGCTTTTGAAATTAGGTATTACAATGCTAATTCATAGCAAAGACGATATACTATTCGTCACTGAATTCCCATGTTTTTTGGGACACCCTGTATCATGTTCTCATTCATCTAAATTCGAAGACGACATTTGGCATAATTGTTTATATCGAATATTGTACGATTAAAATACGAAAATGTCACTCAAAGATATCGAATTAGAAGATTCTTTATCTCGAATAAACCTACTAGAAAATATCTTGAGTTTGAGTCTATTAAAAATCACTCACCAAAAGAAAATATTGAAAAGATTGATGAGATATTGGGTTCTATAAGAAGTCGTCTTTATGGTGATACTCAATCAAACTCTTCTAATTCACAACTGGATTCATCTGAAGAATTAGAAATAATCAAGAAAAAACTGATTACTTCAAATAAAAAAGATGATGAAAAGAAATTTGATTTTCAAATAAAAACTATTTCGATGGAATCGGTCCTTGACGACTTGAATAAATTCAACTATAAATTAGCTGATTACATAGAAAGTTTTGGGACAACTATCGATGTTTGTGTACTATCGATAGAATTTGACCTCCTAAAATGTTAGGTACTTTGCCTGTGGCAAGTTGATAGGTACCTACAGGGTGTCCCACGAAACATGACAGTTGGTGAATAGTTTAGAATGTCTTCTTCCATATACTGTATTAGATATTGAAGACTTTTTGTGCAGTTTATTTCGTTAAAAAGTCTTTTACTAATTAGTATATTTTACTTTGAAATCAAGTTTACTATAATACGACTATCATATACCATTTTTCATTAGTCTCTTTTCTATCAGACGACTTAAAAATCATGGAAGAAGACATTTCAAACTATTCCCCAACTGTTATGTTTCATGGGACACCCTGTAGTTCCCTTGCTCCCACCGACAATTTGCCCGGCCCGGCAGAACTTTTCCATATAACAATTTTAGCATGTGCCAAAGTTGCCATGGGACACTTTGCCATGTGAACATTTTGCCAGTTTGACGGGCTCTAAGACCAGTTAATGCAGTGCAGGCATAATATTAAATATTCATAGTTTGTTACAGGGTTGCTACGAAACGTTGAATGATGCAATAGTTCCATACAAGAAAAGGATTAAAGAAGCTGGAACAAATTGTCCCAAATTTTAATCTTTAATCAATAACTTTTTTCACCAAATTAGGCTAATCGCAAAAAGAGGTGTTTCAACCATTGTTTCTATCTTCAACTTGTAAATATGTTTTTATTTTTATATTTGGAAATTTTTGCAAACATATAAAATATTTAGCAATAAATTTGCATAAGGCAACAAAGATAAAATAATTAGAAAGTAAGAATTTATGGCGATTTATCAGTGTCCTCATTTAAAAAAACTAGTTATGGTACAGGGTGTCCCACGAAACATGACAGTTGTTTAATAGTTCAAAATGACTTCTTCCAAAGTATTTTTAGTTGTCTGACACCAAAAAGAATAAACAAAATATTATATTGCAGTCATATTTTAGTAAAATTGATTTCAAAGTAAAATATATTTGAGTAAAAGATTGATAATGCAAAAAGTCTTAATTATCTTTCACATGCAGTGTATGGAAGAAGACATTCAAAACTATTTATCCACTGTCATGTTTCGTGGGACACCCTGTAGATGCCACTTTATTTTGATCTGAACTACATTTTTTATAATAAAAAAATCGTTTAATAGAGAGACCTAACTATCCAGAACTGAGAACTCAAATTAATGTTAAATACATATAATTTCTCTAAATCAATCTGCAAAGTTTTATTTGTTGAAAAATTATCACACTGACACAGAATAATTTTGTTTAAAACAGTAACATATATTTAGCTAAATACGTATTTTAAAAATTACAAAATCTAACTGTCTTAACTTAATAAAACTGTAGAATAGTATATGGGTATTAAAAGATCATGATCATGATCATAAATGAGAAAAAGATCATTAAATCAGGTATTATGTTTAGGAATCAAATGGGTGTCATTTTATTGTGATTGTCAATGTCCATGAGGTATTTATGTGCCCTCACGATCCAGTTATAATATTGTAATAAAAAATATCCTAATGTTAAATAAAGTGAGCTTATGAACAGAAGGATTTAGCCAATATCCTTATGAACTTATGAACCGAAGGATTTGGCCAAAGTATTCCAATTCTCACCACACAATCGTTAAAAAAAAATATAGACAAATAATGTTCAGCACCAAACGAAAAAATGCGTACAAGATTCGACTACATTTATACATTCGTAAAAAAGTCAAGTTTCTCGTCCAAGTTTTGGCCAGGTTTGAACTTGGAACCAAACTTGTTAAATGTGTCGAGAAAATTTAAACCTTTCAATACCAGTCCAGTTTCAATACCAGTCCAGTTTCAATACCAGTCCAGTTTCAATACCAGTCCAGCTTCAATACCAGTCCAGTTTCAATACCAGTCCAGTTTCAATACCAGTCCAGTTTCTTCGAATAAAAGTAGACTTTTTATTTTATTCGATTTTAATTCTTTTTTTGAAAATAATTAGTACATTACTTATAAAAAGTATAGTACACTACCATATTAAATGGATAGATCGACCTTCTTTTCTTCATCATTGGTCCGTAGACGGGGATACTACTATACATTCACTCCCAGTTCTTGGTTTGAATGAAGAAGCTGGCAAATTATGTTTCATTGAAATGATAAGAAATAGCCTCGTTTAAAAACAAACTTTGAAGAAATTACCTAAAAATGATCATCTTTAAGTTTTGGTGGTTAAAAACCGAATATACAAATAGGATTACATTAGTTATGAAACGTTAATAAATTTTTAATAAAAAATTTTAGGAAAAACTAGAAACAATAGAAAAATTTCCGTCCAGTGATTTGAATTGTATAGTAGCCCAGTGATAAGGTAGAAGCACATCCATCGGTTTGCCTGAATATAAACAACTTTAGAATTAGGTAGTTTCAGATTTTTTATATAGCTGGAAAAAACCCTTTCTAAAAAAAGGGAGCACTGGCTCCGTTACTATGAACACGCTAGTTATTTTCTTAGCGGGATCAGTTCGTGGGTCCAGTGCTCCCTTGAGCACTTGACCCACATGATCCAGTTTAAAAATGTTATTGAGATATGCTACCCCCAAATCACTGTGAAATCAACTATCTCCATGTTAAATCCTTAATTTTAGAACATGGTTAAAATTAAATAAAGATAAAAATTAAAGGTTAAAATTTAAGATCCTATTGTACCTTATTGTTTAAAAATTAAGTTAAATTTTTTCCGCATTTTCTTTATGGTAAAAACAAATTGTTCCAGTTTAGAGTCCAGGATATTCATTGGCATGTAGTATTTTTCCAAGTTTATTGGAATTTTTCTAACAAAATTTTTAACATGCCTATTTGAGCATTCATTGTACTTAATTGTTGATATGAATTTTTTACTTTGTTGGGGTTTATCCTTTTTCTTGTGTAGTTCCATGCATTTACCTTGATTTTTTGAGAATCCTTTGAGTTCAAGTATACAACGAACTATTTTTAATTGGTTTTGTAATTCTTTTTTATTAGCACAATGTGTTCTTGCTGTGTGAAAATAGCTTACACCCGCCATTTTTTTAAATTTCCAACTAACATTTGAATTTGGCGGAGTTATATTATATTTATTATTTGGTTTACTTAAAACTGATGTCTTAAGAGAATTAACTTGAGCTTCAAGATTTTTAATTTTATTCTCTAAATGTTCAGTAGTGGTCTTGTGATGATTTTTGTAGTATTCAAAAATAGTCTTGAGATGATTTTCGTAATCTTCTACAGTATTGTTTAAATCTTCATAATTAATATTCAGTTCATCAATAATCTTCTCCGCAGCCGCTAGCTCATCATTTAGTCTTGCAATCTCAGTTGTATCTTTAAGTTTATTTTTTTCCAGGTTCTTGACTAACTGTTTCTTGTGAATTACATTGTTTTTGAGACCTCTGAGCTGGGTAATTATACTATCCTCTGCAGTTTCTTCAGGAGAATCTACCTCCTCAGCTGCAGTAGTACTTTGTACTTTTGTTGAGTATTCCTTCAACTTATTCTTGATGGAATCAATAATTGCTGATAATTCCTCCTTTTCCTTCCTTAGACTATTATTGCTTTCCATTGATAGCTCTGTGATCTTTTCCTCAGCTTTCAGTGTTCGCGAAAAATTAAAGGGGGTACAGGCTTTGGGTTAAAAATAAGCGCTTTTCACCGCTACTAATCTTACTTTTATCTGTTGCGTCGATTTAATTCCAAACAAATCATTCAAATATCACAACCAATATTCATCGATAATTTTTCGACGCATTCGTATTTAGTTAATATTTCATAATATTTTTATTTTTCATGATCTGATAGTTTCTTTTGAAAATATTTATTTCTGTTTCGAGGATTTTTAATAATGAATGCGACATTTCTATATTCCCAGAAATGTTCGAAAATCCAGCGCCAGCAAAATATCATTTAAAAAACAAAATAAAAAATATTATGAAATATTAACTTAAAAGAATGAGTCGAAAAATAATCGATGACTATTGTTTGTAATATCTTAATGATTTGTTTGGAACTAAATTGATTATTTTACGATCCGAGTTGAATGTTGCAACTTTCTGAATTTGTATGGACGCTACGTTCTTCAGCGTAAATCTTTTTTAACAATTTTCTCCTTATAGACGCAACAGATAGAAGTAAGATTAGTAGCGATTAAAAGCACTTATTTTTCGCCGTATGTTTATACCCCCTTTCATTTTTCGCGAGCACTCCCTTACAAAACGGCTTGCAAACAAAGTTTTAAGCAATTACAAGCGTTACTGCAGATTAATAAGGATAAGTCAGACGCATCCTTGATCAGTCAAAGGTTTAAAAGTTACTGTTGTGAATCGAACACGTCACTATAAAGGGTCACTTAAGATTACACTTATAGTTCATAAAATAATAATAATAATAATTCTTAATTTCGTCGTGATTGTTCTTACCTTTAATTATCAGTATCTCTTCTAATCTTGAATTTTCTAACTATTTCTCTGGCATGAACTCCAGAGATCCTAACAAATAAAAAACACGTTCTCAATAAAATTAAAAGAATATATATAAAATGGTTGTTGCTTTGAAAAAGAAATTAATTATTAATTATATACACACCTACAAGTTTCAAGCGCTTCATCAAGTTTCTTCTTTAACTCCTGATTCTCAAGATTCAAGTCTCTAAAAGGCCGATTTTACTATTTTTAAAAATCTATATGGATTTGCAATGTGCATCTTCGCTAATTTTTATCAAAAGAAAGGTCAGCCGCCTTTAAGGGAGTGTTTAAATATTAAAATATTAGATACTAGGACAATTCGCGCCCTCTTCCTGTAAATAATTTCCACTTTTAACTGTTGCTCTGAAAGTCAGCCATTTTTAATCATTTTCAAATTTTGGAGACTTTCTTTTCGAATTGGTGCATTTTCAAAACATATAAAATTTTTTTTCTCAAACTTCAATGTTTCTCTGGGGTAGGACCCACGCAAAAATTGGGCCCGATCGGTTCAGTCGTTTTGACGTTTATTGGTTGCAAACGGACAGACAGACAAACATACGAACACTCAAGCAAAGTATTTTAGCTGGAAGATGTCAGAATAAATTTATTGTAATATAGTATTCTTTTATTTATAATCGAAATTTTGCAAAGTGGATTTTTAACACTTAATCCACTATAATATTGTATTAATAAAAAAGACGGCTAGCATTAAGGGAAGGCCTGTTTGGCGATTCTGATAAATTATTTGATAATTAAATTTCCTGTATTCTTTTTTTGGTTGTTTGGTACATGCGTCCATATTGAGTCTATTCTCTGCCTCTTTTTCTGCCATTTTTATCAAAATTGGATAAACCAACAGTTTTTTAGTCCTGTAAGAAATTAAAGAATGAAATTTTTTATGTCAGACTGAATACAATTAGCATAGCAATACCAAGAAGTAATTTCTATTTACTCGGTGAATCCATTTAACATTTTAATTTCCCAGCAAGAAAATTCATTCCGCTTTCCTGTTGTACTCCATAAGAAAAGAACTCCTTTTTCCACCGAAAATGGATAATCCTCCAGATTTAACTTAAAATTGGACAGACCTGTACTTTCTTTTATCTCAGGGGAAGAACTACAATTTCTAGTCCTGTAAGAAATTCAAGAAAAAAACTGATGCAATTTTTAGCAATAAAATAATCAAGAATGAATTTTTCATCGCATTAAATCCATTAAAAATTTGCATGGTCTCATTGGATCTGTAGTTCGTGTGAACCTGTGTACAAAACTGCATTTGAAAATAATACTTTCTTTGCCAACACTGAAAAAAAGCGTTATTGATTTTTCTTCAGAGATTAAAACAATTACTTTTCTGAAATAACAGTTAAGTAAGGTACTGAAATAAAGGACAAAAAATTGAGGACTGTCCAACACTAATGGGTGTTAAAAAAACTCTTTGCACTTTTTTTCTCTCAGAGGCCTAATTATTACCCGATAATGCATAATGAAATTAATATCACAATGTCCCCTGTTGATCAGATAAAGAGCTAGTATAGGATTGACCCAATCCGATGCTTTTTTGCCACAACATCCTAGAAACGTTGTGATATTAATTTCATTATGATCGGGTAATAATTAAGCCTCTGAAAGAAAATGAGTGTAGTGTTTTTGTTCTTGTTTACACCATGTTGACCAATGACCATGAAATGAGTACGGAATACAACTGTGTAGTGCTATATGTAAACTAAGCCTAGTAACTTGATGGTGGCGAGAATAATACAGGATTTAACCACAAATGCATGACTATAAAGATGATTTACAACCAAAGAGAATAGAATATATAGAGGGGAATTTAGAAAATCTCTCTGTATGAATTTTTTCAGTCCCTTTCAGCCTGAAAGGGAGTCCAAGGTGTACAAATCATGTAAATGTTCACAAATTATATGCAGTAGAGTACAATAATACAGTATGTTCCCTAGACTATCTATTTCAATTTCGAATTTTTTAAAGCTGTTAAATAAACTTTATAATGAATTAGGTGAATATAAAACATCTTTTGATTTATAGTTATAACAGGAAATCATCGTTTGTAAAGTGAATGGCATAGAGTCTATGTGAAATGATCATTGGCCAATTATGAAACCAGCCAATTTCATAATTTGGTTTCTTTTAATATTAATTTTAGATTTTCTATAAAATGATATTCCAGGGCCAAAAGGTTATATAGCATAAATATGTGAAGAACACCTGCAGTATGGAAACAGAACAACAAAATGGCCGTTTTACACTTTTTTTTAGTAAATTCCCCTCTAATATATATTATATTCTCTTTGTTTACAACGCTTAGAATGTGACATACATTTACTGTGTTGAAAATAAGTCTTTAGATTACACTCTGTAAAAATTTAATTTTGGTAATTTTTTCCATGGTCCTACCAGCTGATATAGCAAACCGGACCCTAGATTTGCTGTGTGTATTTTAATAGGGGCGTATTTATGTTTCTTTTACACGATTCAAAAATAAATTTTGAGCAGATTTTTTTTGTTCACAGAGAATTAATATCTGAAGGAAATTGTTCAGGGTCCACAGAGTAGGAAAGTACTGCATAACACCCCACCCAGAAAATTACATCGAAACTCGTCTATGATCCATCCATTTTATTATATATCCATGGTATATATACTTGGAATACGACATAATTTATCATCCCGCAAAACAAAGGCAAAACCACAGACTACACAGACTGCTTATCTCCTTTCACAGGGAGGGCTACGTAGGCCTCAGTTGACCCGGCATGACATGCTACGTTTTTACGATAGGTTTTTAGAGTGCCATCTTACGGCCACTTGTTATTATATCCATTTTACAACTTTTAAAGAAATACTTCAATTTTAAACATGAAACATAACATTTCTGAATTCCGTCTTTTTTTTTTTTGAAGATTTTGTGTTTCGTATCCAAAGGATCCTTAAATATCCCTGAATACAGATGTTTGATGATTGGTCGTGTACATTACTTGTACACAATAAGACATTAAGTGGAAAATATAGCATATTTTACCTGATAATCGATCTCTGTAACTCTCCTATCTCTGGGCAAGACTAACGATTGTTTCAAGGGCATATAGAGCGTTCCATATCATATCGCCAAAATACGCACATAATCTTTTTATTCTTCTGATTTGTCCCGAAAATCGCAATCTTAATGATGTCGGACACCCTTTATAACCTTCAAATAGAATTAAAGTACTTAATAACCTTGGACCAGAGTATTATTGAACTATAGACTACAGAGGGATACATTATAATCCTTGAGTTAAGACTACAGAGGACATATAGACTTTAAAGAATATTTTAAACTTGTATTATCTTAGTTTGATATAGAATCTTCAGAGACGACTGTACGGAATTTAAACTGTCTGCTTTCTTACATTAATAATTCCCTGCAACTGTTAACTTGTTTCTTTCTTATTCTATATTTAAGGCAGAGAACTTCACTATCCTTGTCATATTTTAAAAGTTTTAGGTCGTCTTCACAGACTCATCCTTTGAAGGTAAATCTGTATGAATGAAAGTTGAGAAAATCCGCGACATGATTTTTAGATTAAATTCTTAAGTACTTTTGCATAAGACTTTTACCGTTGTGTTTCAAAAGGTTTTACAAAGAGGAGAAAAAACTAAAAAAATTCTGATGGTGAACATGATAAACTTACACCACAAAACTTTAACAATACATAAGGAAATTGATTAATATTTACTGAAGGGGGGGAGCAGTTAAAATTTAAATTTTTCTTACGTATTTTTAAAAACCTTTATAGCCATGTTTCAATGTGCATGCATGACCACATCGATAGGTATACAGATAAATATAAAAATCTTTATTGATTACATTAAAAAACACTTAAATCTAAACAATGTTAATCTTTTATAAAACATTCGAGATTAATCTATAAAATTTCTTTACAGCAGTGTCTACAACTTTTAATTTGATTTAGATTTAAATCATTGAATTACAGGGAGGGGATGGAGGGGAGGGGGCAACGACTCTCACTAAATGATTTACATGGATTTAAATTACTTCATTTTCTGATTAGATTTGATAAGTATGTCTGAGAAGAACATCTGGGTTCTGCGAGTTCAGCAAACTTATATTTAGCGGAACTAGCAGAAATCCAGAGGCCGAATTTAAAGAAATTGAGCCGCTGCTTAATTATGGTTGGTTTCACTTAAATTGTATTCAATTTTTCAAGATTTAAGCCGGCGCTCAATTTAAACCGGGTTTTGGCGGATTTAAGCCGCGATTTAAATTCTTTAAATTCGGCTACAGGTTAGCTCGTTTTCTGCTTTAATTTTTGAATAAACCAGTAGTTGATTCCGGCCAGTGGTGTCTACTGTTCCTTTACAGGGTTCATTTCATTTTTCAAATGAATATGACCAAAAGTTCTAATATTCATTCTTCTCTTAAAGCTTCTCATTCCCTGCTTTGAGGAAGTTAACTTCGGCGATTATATGTTCACTTCTTTCTCTGTATTGTCTTTCAATTTTGTATATTTAGGGCATTTAAAGTGTGAGTATTGCATCTTGGTTAATGAGTGATTTTAAGATGGATTTAGTATAATGAGTCAGTATTTGAATAATCATTTGACTTTGATTACTCAGTCAAATTTGTCAAAAATTTCATTGTAAAACAGTTTAAGAATTCAACACACAAAATATTAATCTCAAGTAGAATTGAAAAATGGTTTGAGTTGTGCTTTTTTGCGTGACGCGGCTGGATTTTTTAAAATCACACTTTAAATGTCCTAAATATACAATTTAAAAAAGTAGTTTTGCCCGGAAGAGTCAAATGTGGTGGTACGGAAGGGGAAATAGTGGTGGCTCATGGCTGCCGGAAGAGAAAAAAGCTAATATGTGGAAAGGATTGGGAAATAGTGGTGGCTCATGGCCACCTGCCTTCAACCGCTCCAATTACGAAGTTGTCTTATTAATTATTTAAAATTCCGGTACTTGGTGAATATTGCTGTACAAGATTAGAATTACCTGGTGTTCGAACACTATCCAATGGTTCAGATTCTTTCGATATCTTTCCATTTTCTCTAACTATATCCTCATCAAACATAGCTTCAGCATACTCCTCTAGATAATTCCAAAAATTAAAATTGAAACATGAAAATTGGTTTTCCGCCACAAACTCTAAATTTCTAATGCAAATATCTTAGTAAAGCTTAAGATATTTCAAACTATGAGTTCTGTAAGCTTTACACATTTAGGTTGAAGAGATACAGGGCTATTAGAAAATTGTAATGTAAAGCGAATAATCGGTTCCTTTTTCTGAAAAGCATACCTGGCAAGTTTTCATGTTTAATCTTTTTCTCAAGAGGCCATCACTAGCTCTGGTCTCTCTACAGTTCCTTTTTTATATATTTTGAATAAGATTTCATTTAGAAAATACAAATAAGTTTTAGCAAACCTTTTATGATTTATCTGCACCACAATACCTTCCAGGAATTCAGAGTAAGACCTGAACAGAAACAATTTAGAATCTGTTAATCTATATAATAAGCTTTTTGCTCTACAAGTTCTTTACAGTATCTATTGAAGCCTGAAAACCCCCTGAAAACTATAGATTTTTTCTGACCTAGGAAGGGGTTAAGCCCCCTTAGCTCCCCTTAGAACGCCACTGCAGACCAAAGGACTATATAGACCAAATTGGCTGAAATGTTATACCCCAAAGGTGAAATCAATCCGGGACAACAACGGGTACGCCATCAATAGCGCCCTAAATATAATTTACCTGGATTTGTTTAACGCTTCATCACGCTCCTTCTCCAACTCCCGATTCTTTTGTTCCAGTTTTCTGGAGATCAATTCCACAATTTTAAAGAAGGGTTTTGAAATCTCTAAATATTTTGATCAACCAGTCTACCCCCTTAAAGTGACTATAAAAGTGAACCTCCAATGATGTATTCACAATGATACCCTTTAAACTTTTATTTGAATAACAATAAGGAAGATATGTCGTTTTACCGTCTCTGAGAGTGTTGGATTCTGCCAATTTTCTTTCTTGGAATATCTACAATTTGAAATGAACAATTTTTAGGTAAAAAACTAGGACAAATATTTGAAGGCTACCACTGTGTGAATCGGACATGCCATTCTATAAAAGGGTCACTTAAAAAATATGAAATTTTTCTCCAAAAGCTTTTTTTAAGTTGGACATTTGTTTGTCTGATTTAATCGTTTAATTATTGGTGACCAAACATTGAGAGTTATTATTTTTGAATAATGATTATTGTTAATTTCCTAATTTTTGATTCCAACTTTAATTCACGCCTTTCAATGCTGAGAATATTTTCTGCCATTTGTTAGCAAAGTTGTGAAGACCAACAATTTGCAAGTTTTCTGATAAAAAATTAAATAAGATTAAAAAAGTAAACCATTCATCTCAAAATTTCTTGATGGTCATTTGATATCCATGCCACGATAAGGAAATAATAGGTTCATTTATTTGAAAAATCAATCTTAATATGGAATTTTAAAAATCCCTGCGAGGGATTCCTATAAATTATCTATTTTGAGACATTACACCAAATACGTTTCTATTTTCTTGACTCCATCTATTTTCACAAAACATCCTGTGGGTTAGGGGGAGTGGCCATAGGACTCCCCCGACCCCCATCCCTCTTTTTCTATGTTGCGATTCCTCAGGCATAATTTATGACAAATTTCACATTTTTGAAAACCCACTGGCCTTGCCATTTGCATCGAGAAAAACTAAACTGGCAAAAACAAATTATGCGTGTGCCAAAAAATTGGACATTCCTGTCTAAAATTTGCTCTCTTTTAGAACGGCTTCTGAAAGAAAGTTTTTAAATTTTGAAATCCAATGAATGGAAATGGTTCTAATTATAGAGGCTTACTTTTTAAAGTATTATAATTTAACCCTCAGACCAGCATAATTTTTTGCAAGTCAAGTAATCAGAAACTCACAAGTATCTTTCTTGGGTTTAGCTGGAATTTTAAGATTTAGATGTTGAAGTCTTGAAAAATATGTCAAATGTCAAAAAATGGAAACTCCACAGCAGTCAGCAACTATAAACCCATTCAAGTTAAAGCTGGGAATGAAAATGATTTGTAATTGTATCTAATGAAAGGTTTTGGATTTAGATTTAATAAAAATGCAGAAATTGACATTTTAGAACATCAATAAACCTTAGAGAAAAAAAAGAGACCAACCTCCTTCTTTGCGGACTAAAACTTCAATCCAAGTAAATCTGGGTGAACAGGGTTGAAAAGAACAGTCAGTTGGTCCAATGGGGCTGAAATCTTCTGAAGTATTTTCGTCGTTTAAAGTTTTTCAATCTGGTACGTAGGTCCTTGATTTCAGCATCTTTCTGAGCACACAAGTTTGCAAAATTATTCAGTTGATTTATCAGGTCACTATTACTTCTTTCCAGATTTTCTATGGTGGGATCATACTCATCTTCGTATTCATCTTCATTCTCTTCATTTTCCTCCTCTATTCTGGATATTTCATTTTTCAGCATATTATTTGATTCTCTTAAACACCATAATTCATTTTCAGCATTTCTTAGTTTTTGTTTTTGAAGATTACATGATGTCCTGTGTTCAGTTAAACCTTTATCAATCTCAGCTAATATGTCTTCACAACTGTTTCCCTTCAAATTCTGCAGGCTTTCTCCTTCCTTTGTCAAATTTTCAATTGTTTCATCTTCATTTAATTTCTCAACATTCTTCTTTGTGGTAACTAAGACAAGCTTGAGACTGTCTCGCCTACTTTCAAGCATTTCTTTAGTTTTACCTAAGGAGATATTTTTTTCTGTAGTAGAAGTGAGACGATTACCTAATAGACGGCTCCTTAGCTCTTCATTTTTATTCTTAAAATTTAATTCTTTATATTTGTGGTTTACTTCATCAATCTTCTTCTTGGTGGCCGCTAGCTCATCATTTAGTTTTGCAATCTCGTTTGAATATTTCAGTTTATCTTTCTCAAAGCCCTGAACTAACTGTGTTGAGTCCCTTACATTCTGCTTCAAGTTCTGATTCTGATTGATCAAGTTGGTGAGCTGGGTGATAACACCATCATATCCTGCTCCTCCTGAACTCCCCTCCTCAGCTGTAGGAATTGGAAGATTTGATGAGAATTCCTTCAACTTATTCTTGATGGATTTAATGAAGATTACTTCGGCTTTGCGGAAGTTGACTTCAGCCATACTTCTTTTTATCAATTGTCTTCCAGTTGCCTTGAGACTTTTTATTTTGGTTTTTTGCAAACTATTTTCCTCCTCCAAGATCCTTACGTTCCTTTTCAAGTCTTCATGCTGGTTGATCATGTTGGTGAGCTGGGTGATAACACCATCATCTCCTGCTCCTCCTGAACTCCCCTCCTCAGCTGTAGGAATTGGTAGATTTGTGGAAAATTTTTTAAGCTTATTCTTGATGGAATCAACAAATGCTGTTTGTTCATCCTTTTCCTTCAATAGTCTCTTATTGCTTTCTGAGATAACAGAGTTTTCTATTGTTAGTCTGGTTAGGGCGACGTACTGTACAGAATTCAGAGTAAGACCTAAATTGACACATTTAATATGTTGTTTAACATCAATAATGTCATAATATTATTCACCTGGATCTATTAGACTCTTCATCACGCTCCTTCTCCAACTCCCGATTCTTCAGTTCAAGTTTTCTGGAGATCGATCCAACAATTTGAAATAACTGCAAGGGTTTTGAATATTCCGACCAGCCAATCTTCACCCTTAAAGTGATAATGATTTCCTTTAAACTTGTATTCCTTTGGTGGAATAGTCACAAAGAGAAATATTCAATTTTCAGCTTAAAAATCTAGGATTTACACTCATCCATGATCCGACAAATAATTAAAGGCTACCATCGAGTGAATCGGACATGCCATTCTATAAATTGAGGGTCACTTGAAATAACTCCTTCAGCATGCTTGGAGTTTAATGTATTATATATATCTGTTTTGGTTCAGAACAACCTAAAGTGGTGTTCAACCCCCCCCCCCCCATTTAAAAATTTTAAGTTCATCTCCAAAATTTACTTCAAAGGTTAGACATTTGTTTGTCTGATCAAATTTTTTTTTGTGACAAAAAGAGGGAATCATTCATGGTGACCAATTGTTAAGAATTAATGATTTTTAAATGATGATTATTGTTAATTTCCTAATTTTTGCTTTCAACTTCAAATCTTTCCTTTCAATATTTTCTGCCTCTTTTCCTGCCATTTTAAAGCAAAGTTGAGTAGACCGACAATTTTTCTGAAAATAAACCAAAATGAGAAAAAGCATTCATCTCAAATATTCTTGATGGTCATTATAATTTGATATCCATGCCATGAAAAGGAAACAGTAAGTTTTATTAGGGTGGTATGCGATAAAATCAATATAATGAAGACGACTTTCGATTTCAATTTTGCTATATATCTAGCTTTTAAACAGCATGGGTACACAAAATCATGGAAACAAAGAAATTCTGTCAATACTTTTAAACTTGCAATTTGAAAAACCTTGTTATCAATCAAAACTTAAATAAAATAATTGTAGTGATATAATAGCCTACCACCATATTAAAAAAATATTATTTTGGAATATGACTATTTAAGAAGCGTATATAGTCGGCGGGGGAGGGGGGGGTGGTAGAAGGGATTTTGACTACCCTATTATCTCAAAAGAGACACAATTATCTGAGAAAAAAGGATAACACGAAAAGAGAAAAATATAAGATTACTTTTTTTTAGTAAATTCCACTCTAATATATATTCTATTCTTTTTGACCACGGAGATCTTTCCTGGTAACAGGAAGAGCGGACGTGTGATAGAGTTGTAAGTCACTTCTCTTCAAGTCCCTGTTCTGGTTGATCAGGTTGATAAGAACAGCCTTTTTGATTGATTGACTCATTTAGTTCTTCTTTGATCTTTGCAACCTCCCCAAAGAACTAATTGTTTTTCTCCATTGTTTTTCTATATTTAGTTCATCAATCTTCTTCTTAAGTATTTCACTTTTATTTACAAGTTTGTCTTTCTCCAGGTTTTGCTTTAAATCCCTGTTCTGATTGATCAGGTTGGTAAGTTAGGCAATTAAACCATCCTCTCCTGTTCTTCCTGAACTCCCCTCCTCAGCTGTATGAGTTGGTAGATTTAATGAGAATTCAGTCAACTTATTCTTTATGGAATCAACAACTGCTGAAATTTCCTCCTTTTCCTTCTGTAGCCTAATATTACTTTCTGAGATAATGGAGTTTTTCAGTGTCAGCTCTGTGATCTTTTCTTCGGCTTTCAGTTTTTCATTGGAGTCTTGTTTTTCAATATGTTCATTTGGATTATTGTCATCATCAACAACGCCATCTAAATCAGTTTTTTTATATCTTATAATATTATGTCTTAATTTTAAATTTCTTTAAAACTTGCTAATTCGTTTTTTTTAATTAAGAAATATCGCTAAGAATTTGGTAATTTGAAATTGTAAAAACTGATAAATTAAGCATGTACAGTACATTTAAGTCCTTCATAAGACTTGCAAATTGACTTTGATCTTCAGAATAGTTAGTGGCCTTTATTTGTTGACCTAATTTTTCAATTATTTTATAATGATTTGGAATGAAATTTTTCTTAGCTCCCGTAATTCTAAAAGCACAAAAATGGCAGACCTCATATCGATAAAGACGACTTTTTTTTAAGTTTTGATTTGATAACGAGCTTTTTTCAAATTACACGTTTACAAGTAATCAAAAAGAAGCTTTTTTTTAATTGATAATTTCTCTTGACTTTTTTTTTTGTGTAATCCATGCTGTTAAACAATTAATATCAAAACTTAAATTGAAAGTCGTCTTGTTTGTATCGAAATAATCGCCTATATTGTATTAAAATGGCAGGCTAGGGCTAATTTGTGATAATCGTTTCATGAATCATATTTTATTAAATGAAGTTGACAAATGAATGCCGCAAACTGTTTCAAAGATCAAAGACCATTACCAGGTTGTCTTATTAATTATTTAAAAATTCGGTACTTGGTGAATATCGCTGTACAAGATTAGAATTACGTGGTGTTCGAACACTTGCCAATGATTCAGATTCTTTCGATATCTTTCCATTTTCTCTAACTATATCCTCATCAAACATAGCTTCAGCATACTCCTCTAGATTATTCAAAACGTTGAAACATGAACATTGGTACTCCGCCACAAACTCTAAATTTCAAATGCATATATCTTAGTAGAGCTTAAGATATTTCAAACTATGAGTTCTGTAAGCTTTACACATTTAGGTTGAAGAGATGCAGGGCTATTAGAAAATTGAAATGTAAAGCGAATAATCAGTTCCTTTTTCTGAAAAGCAAACCTTTTATGATTTGTTTGCACCACAATACCTTCCAGGAATTCAGAGTAAGACCTGAACAGAAACAATTTAGAAGCTGTTTATCTATATAATAAGCTTTTTGCTCTACAAGTTCTTTACAGTATCTATTGAAGCCTGAAAACCCCCTGAAACCCATAGATTTATCTGACCTAGGAAGAGGCTAAGCCCCTGTAGCTCCCCTTAGAACGCCACTGCAGACCAAAGGACTATATAGACCAAATTGGCTGAAATGTTATACCCCAAAGGTGAAATCAAACCGGGGCAATGACGGTTAGGCCATCAATAGCGCCCTAAATATAATTACCTGGATTTGTTCAACGCTTCATCTTGCTCCTTCTCCAACTCCCGATTCTTTTGTTCCAGTTTTCTGGAGATCAATTCAACAATTTTAAAGAAGGGTTTTGAAATCTCTAAATATTTTGATCAACCAGTCTACCCTCTTAACGTGAGTATAAAAGTGAACCTCCAATGATGTATTCACAATGATACCCTTTAAACTTTAATTTGTATAACAATAAGGAAGATATGTCGTTTAACCGTCTCTGAAAGTGTTGGATTCTGCCAATTTTCTTTCTTAGAATATCTACAATTTAAAATGATCAATTTTTAGGTAAAAAACAAGGACAAATATTTAAAGGCTACCACTGTGTGAATCGGACATGCCATTCTATAGAAGGGTCACTTAAAAAATATGAAATTTTTCTCTAAAAGCTTTTTTAAAGTTGGACATTTGCTTGTCTGATTTAATCGTTTATTACTGGTGACCAAATATTAAGAGTTATTATTTTTGAATAATGATTATTGTTAATTTCCTAATTTTTGATTCCAACTTTAATTCACGCCTTTCAATACTGAGAATATTTTCTGCCATTTTTTAGCAAAGTTGTGAAGACCAACCATTTGCAAGTTTTCTGATAAAAAAATTAAATAACATTAAAAAAGTAAACCATTCATCTTAAAATTTCTTAACGGTCATTTGATATCCATGCCATGATAAGGAAATAATAGGTTCATTTATTTGAAAAATCTATTTTAATATGGAATTTTAAAAATCCCTGCGAGGGATTCCTATAAATTATCTATTTTGAGACTTTACACCAATTACGTTTCTCTTTTCTTGACTCCATCTATTTTCACAAAACATCCTGTGGGTTAGGGTGAGTGGCCATAGGACTCCCCCGACCCCCATCCCTCTTTTTCTAAGTTGCGATTCCTCAGGCATAATTTATGACAAATATCACATTTTTGAAAACCCACTGGCCTTGCCATTCGCATCGAGAAATCCTAAAAATGTGCAAAAACAAATTGTGCGTTTGCCAAAAAAATTGGACATTCCTGTCTAAAATTTGCTTTCTTTTTAGATCAGCTTCTAAGAAAAAAGTTTTTAAATTTTGAAATCCAATGAATGGAAATGGTTCTAATTATAGAGGCTTACTTTTTAAAGTATTATAATTTAACCCTCAGACCAGCATAATTTTTTGCAAGTCAAGTAATCAGAAACTCACAAGTATCTTTCTTGGGTTAAGATGGAATTTTAAGATTTAGATGTTGAAGTCTTGAAAAATATGTCAAATGTCAAAAAATGGAAACTCCACAGCAGTCAGCAACTATAAACCCATTCAAGTTAAAGCTGGGAATGAAAATGATTTGTAATTGTATCTAATGAAAGGTTTTGGATTTAGATTTAATAAAAATGCATAAATTGACATTTTAGAACATCAATAAACATTAGAAAAAAAGAGAAAAACTTGGTTTGGGTATTTATTTTTTCAACCTCCTTCTTTGCAGACTAAAACTTCAATCCAAGTAAATCTGGGTGAACAGGGTTGAAAAGAACAGTCAGTTGGTCCAATGGGGCTGAAATCTTCTGAAGTATTTTCGTTTAAAGTTTTTCAATCTGGTACGTAGGTCCTTGATTTCAGCATCTTTTTGAGCACAAAAGTTTGCAAAATTATTCAGTTGATTTATCAGGTCACTATTACTTCTTTTCAGATTTTCTATGGTGAGATCATACTCATCTTCGTAATCATCTTCATTCTCTTCATTTTCCTCCTCCATTCTGGATATTTCATTTTTCAGCATATTATTTGATTCTCTTAAACACCATAATTCATTTTCAGCATTTCTTAGTTTTTGTTTTTGAAGATTACATGATGTCCTGTGTTCATTTAAACCTTTATCAATTTCAGCTAATATGTCTTCACAACTGTTTCCCTTCAAATTCTGCAGGCTTTCTTCTTCCTTTGTCAAATTTTCAATTGTTTCATCTTCATTTAATTTCTCAACATTCTTTTTTGTGGTAGCTAGGACAAGCTTGAGACTGTCTCTCCTACTTTCAAGCATTTCTTTAGTTTTACCTAAGGAGATATTTTTTTCTGTATTAGAATTGAGAAGTTTATTTAATTGACTGCTCCTTAGCTCTTCATTTTTGTTCTTCAAATTTAATTCTTCATATTTGTTGTTTATTTCGTCAATATCCTTCTTGGTGGCCGCTAGCTCATCATTTAGTTTTGCAATCTCGTTTGAATATTTCAGTTTATCTTTCTCCAAGCCCTGAACTAACTGTGTTAAGTCCCTTACATTCTGCTTCAAGTCCTGGTTCTGGTTGATCAAGTTGGTGAGCTGGGTGATAACACCATCATCTCCTGCTCCTCCTGAACTCCCCTCCTCAGCTGTAGGAATTGGTAGATTTGATGAGAATTCTTTAAGCTTATTCTTGATGGAATCAACAAATGCTGTTTGTTCATCCTTTTCCTTCAATAGTCTCTTATTGCTTTCTGAGATAACAGAGTTTTCTAGTTTCAGCTCTGTGATCTTTTCCATAGTTTTCAGTTTTTCATTGGAGTCTTGTTCTTCAGATTGTTCTTGGATTCTTGGATTGTTTTCATCATCAGCAATGGCATCTATAAACAAGTCTGTTTTAACTGAATATTATAATTAAATTTTAGTTAGTTCTTTAACCTGTTAATGTCGTTAAGATACAATATACTAAATCCTTAGTTTCGTAATAAAAAGAAAATAAGACTTTAGACAACAAAAATTTCAATCAGTCTAGTAAGGAATTGAGTCTTTACCACAAACTCTAATTTTCTAATCACTGTAACTTTGGAATCAAATGTTGTAGTTCAAACTATGAATCTGTTAAATCAAATAATCTGAGTTTGAAATATTCTAAATATATAAGGGTTTAAATATTGGAGTGTGTGGCAATGACTTAATTTCTGGTGATGAATAAAAGATTAGAATTACCTGGTATTAGAACATTTACTAAGTGTTCAGATTCGTCCAATATGTTTCCACTTTCTCTTTTTATATCCTCATCCTTCATATCTTCAACATACTCCTCTAGATTATTTCACAAGTTAAAATTGAAAAATAAACAAAGGAATTAATCACATTTCCAATCCTTATATTTTCGAAGAACTTTTGATTCTGTAACCTGTGAGATAAAATAACGGAAGTTTTGAAATATCAAAGTTTACACTTTTGAATAAAAGGGGATAGAAAACTTGTAGTTAGTGGCGAGTAATAAGTTTCCATTTCATAAAAAGTTTACCTGGGAAGAATTCTTGTTTAATCTTTTTCTCCAGAGGTTCAACTCCACCACTGGTTCTGGTCCCCATCCGTTTCCTTTTTATTTAAAATCTGATTATGAATAAAAATTACAAATAAATTAATTCAAACCTTTTATGATTAATCTGCACCACAATACCTTCCAGGAATTCAGAGTAAGACCTAAATTGACACATTTTATATGTTGTTTATCATCAATAATGTCATAATACTATTCACCTGGATTTATTAGACTCTTCATCACGCTCCTTCTCCAACTCCCGATTCTCCAGTTCAAGTTTTCTAGAAATTAATTCAACAATACAAAATCACTTTCCCTTCCCCTGAGGGTTTGTCTAAGTAGTCGGACACAACAACCCTTTTCTTTGAATCATTTTTAAAATATCTTTTGGTAAATTTCCTAAATAGTACATGTATCCCCTGAAATAAACTACTAAACTAGAATCCTTCAATTTTAATGTTTAGTTGAATTGGCGCAGCGCTGTCCCGGCAAAAAGTTTTAGCCACAGAATGTTTAAACTTTTAGTTTTTAATTAGATTAAGGACATTTAAAAAATACAGATTTGATTTCAAAGCGCTCCGAGCCCCTTTTCTAGTAATGATTTTAACTGTTAACCGTTGCACTGCAAACAGTCATTTTTCTTTGTAAAATGAATTTTTCTGTTTTCAATTTGCGCATTTTCAAAAATAATAAATGTCGACACTTTTACGGGGAAAAATGTGTCATCTTTAACCATTCATAACCCTTCCCCGGGGGATGAGAGTTGCCACAAAAAGATGGCTCCGCTCTGTTCAGCCGTTTTGACGTTTTTTGGATTCAAAGTATATTTTGAAGAAATTATTTATTGCTAAAATTATCCAAATGTTTAACTAAACCTGTTGCAAACGCTTTTTGAAAATCGTATTCATTGTTAAATTTCCTGATTTTTGCTTTCAGCTTTGAGTTATCTTTTGTCTTTGCTGCATTTCTTTCTGCCATTTTCAAGCAAAATTGCCAGTGCTCTGAAACATAAGTGTGATTAATATAAGCCATTATGAAGTTTAAAAGATCTTAAATATCAACTTTAACAAAAACATATTAATTTAATAAACTTTTATTAACCAGATTATTTTTCCAAAAAAGGGTTTTCGCAAAAGTTTGGCTTTTACCATTTGTAATATAAGTTGTTGGACATACTTTCCAAACTAAAACTTTAATTTATAATAATCTTTTCATTTCTGCAGAAGACTTTTGCTGACGCCATGCTTTTCATGTTGAATAAGATAAATGACTGAAATCTTGCAGTGTGCAGAATTTTGTAGATCTTTAGTTTTAATGGTGACCAATCACCAAATCTTAAGCATTTGTCACAGTTAACGATTTGTAAAGTAGTGGAACTTAAAGGGAACAAGGGGTTTTATATGGGGATGTGAAGTACATATTTAGGGAGGTAGTTTAATGTAACAATTTTGTAAGAAACTTTGATGTTTATAACTATATAGATGTTAATTATTTTCTTTGAATTTATTAAATTCAACATGCCTATTCTTTACATGCTTTAAGACGTTTTACAAAATCCTTTTGATTTGCTCTTCGAATTCTTTGTTTGGCAGCTTTATCTGCCAGAACTAGCCTCCTTTTATGGTATTTTTCTACTTTTTGAGCCCACTCTCCTTTCCGCTTTGAAATTAAGTCTTGTTCTTCCCGTTGATTTTTCTCTTTCTGCTCTTTATTATTGCTGTCATTATCTAAATCAGATTAGCATTATTTTTTTAATATTTGAGACTTACTTATAATATAATACCTGTTTGATTAACCACTGGGGTTTTAGATTCTTTACCGATTCCATGAGCTTCTGTGTTCTTAAGTTCTTCATCGATACCTTTATCTTCTTCAACCTCAATCACATCTTCAATATATTCTCCTGAAATGTAATGTTGAAGAGAGGAAAGAACTCTAAAAAGTTATCATTTCACCTTCAAATTTCATCTTTTTAATTGTAAGCTCAAACCCTCCTCTGTTTGTCCTCCTGTTCTGTGTTCTAAATTTTTTTTTATAAATATGATCATAATAATAATAACTTAAGATCTGAAAAGGGAACAGGAAAAAAAGAAAATCGAACAGGAGAAAGAAAAAATGGTAATTTTTCCGACAGCGATTATAGACCACATTAGGGAAGGGAAGGAGACATCCCCCCTGCCCTTCTAAAATTTTTCTACCCTACTTAGAAACCTTCAAACAGTGTATTTAATTGCTGCTGAGACTGCACCACACATACGATATGTTGAGTCAAGACATTCCTAGATCAGAAAAAACAACACATCTGATATCTACTCCTACATACAATAACCTTCTATTATACTTATATTGATATTTCCGGCACCAAGATATCAAATTAAAGTATAGTATGAATCAGAAATATGTGTCAAAATACATTTTTCCCTTGTCAACAAGGGATTAGAATGCGTAGATCTAAAAGAGAAGAACAGAAAACAGATGTGTGACCAGATAAAAAAAGATTCAATCCAGAGTTCAGAAAAAATTAAGTTGCAAGTTTATACAGAGTTTAGAAAAAAAGAAAGCAAGATATTCAGCAATTTCAAATTGATGGCTCAGAAAAAAAACAAGATCATTTAAAAATAGTTTTTACTTGTAACACGGCAAACTACAAGGACATCCAACAAAATTATTTCTTTTTATTTTCAAAATTAGCCGAAGTATGATTGAAGGATGGACAAACAAGAAAAAAATGAAGAACAAGGAATATAGAAATCTCAAATATTTATGAATATTTAAAAATATTGTAAAATTTAAATTAAATAAATTATTAAAGTTAAAAAATATTGATTTTGCACTCTTTCTTACAAATTATCAACATACAACGTTTTATAGGTCTCCCTCATCCTTGATCTGTCGAAGGTTAAAGGGTACTGTTGTGAACCTGAACTGGACTTATTCGAATTGAAGGTTACTTGAAATTACGATTACAGTCCCTTTAACTCTTTTATAATTAATACACCTTTGTATTATGATATAATTGGACCAACCTTCTTTGACGCATCTGCTGTTCCATACTTATTAGAAACTGGTCTTCACCCAATCTGGAACAAAAGAGATCTTTATACAAAGTAGGATGAAAATAAGATGTTGTTAATCAATGTTAAATTTTAAAACAATGAATTTTACAAAAATTCAGATCTTATATTTGTTTTTATTCAACAAATTAATAATTTGATTTATTCATTGAATCAGAATAATAAAGCTTCATAATAATAATGTTAATTTAACATTTTTAACATTTTATTTCAACTAATAATAAACATTTCTTATGAACATACATACATACAAAACAGGACTGATCTACCCGGTAAGGACTGTTTTTTACACACAAAAAACTAAAAAAAATTTAAAGCAAAAAAATTAGGACTGGAGGAGAGGAAAAAAGGAAAAAAGAATGGCGTACTATTGGTTTAATGAGTAATTTGCATGTCACAGAAAAGGGGATTGGAAGAGTATTCACCAGCACAGCTCTGCAAAACTATGAATAGAAAAATACATCTTTCCAAATCACAGGAAGAGAAGAGGAAATCAGTTATTTACATGAAAAAAAGTTCGAATTGAAGCAAGATAATTCGTTAAAACTGACAGATGGAAAATATTCTGAATATTTATTCACAACTTTTTCTAGCTTAAGAGATTTTGTCTGGTTTGGATCTAATAATGGTGTAAGCATGTGCGCTAGAGGGAGCTGTACGCTAGAGGTACAGAGCTCTGGTTTAAAAGTGTTTTAATAGGTGATATTGAACAATTTATGAACATATACAAAAGTGTTGTGAACATATGGGCTTTGGCCTGGTGTTAAACAGTTAGTGACTGCCTGTGATTTTAGGCCTATTGACCTCTGTTTTTAAAAAAACAACGACTGGGTCACGTGATATATAGCTGGTCAGCTATTGGTCTCCAACAGTTATACTGGCTCTGTTTCTATTGGTAATACATACAACCGGCAGCTGATAAGATGCAGCTTCAGGGGCGAATATACAAAGATGATTCTGGAAGTATTATCCTGGTTGATGGAATTATAGCTTCTCTATTCTATGCCTATGATAGGTTTGCTCATAAATCTGTCATAAACGAAACCTTTGCTAGAACCTTTGGTTTGGAAAATCTGAAGAATTCTAGAAAACTGTTCTACGAAGTGTTTAACCTCTTTGATGGAAGTGGAAGGATGCCAGACAAAAGGACGGAAGCTACCTTGCTCCAAGATCTATGGGAGAAGATAGGGAAGGTTGATCTGCAGGATATGGTAACATTGAAGTTTGTTCTCCTCACAACTTCACTTATCCACAGTTTGTATCAGATGCAGAGTTTCTGGCTAATACAAGTAATGATACCATGAACAAAGTGCTAATTGAGTGAATAGAAAGGTTGGAGAAGCAGGTAGAAGGTAGAGATTTAACAATGATGAATATGTTGTCTAACATAAACCAGCATATCATGAAAAATGGAAACTCTTCAGTTCCTAATTCATATGCGTCTGTGGCAGGACAGAATAGGTTTCAAGCTCCCAATGTTTACTCTGCATCTAAAGGAAGAGAAAGATTAGAGAGTGTCAAAAGATCTGCTCCAGTATCTGCATCAGAGCCCCAACCTGCAAAGAAAAGAAATACTGAGAAAACTGTTGTTACTGGTTCTAGTTTGGGAAAAACTAGAAAGATGCGTAGCCCCCGGGCGGATATTTTTGTCTATGGTTTGCACAAAACAACCACTAAGGAAGAAATTGTGGCGGACTTGGCTGAGGGTGATATACATATTTCAGTTGAAGATATTGAGCTAAAGAGCAGAGACAACACACATGTATCCAGCTATAGGATATCAGTTCCTGCTGAGGATCTTGATAAAGCTATGGATCCTACTTTATGGCCTCTGAGGGTGAAGGTAAGGGAATATATTTATTACAAGAAGAAATATGTTGCCCCAAAACAGATGAGTAATGCAAACAGTGGTGTTCGGCAACTTGGAGAGGTTTCACCAATTCCGGTGATGCAGAACCGGTTTACACATTTGCAGGACAATGTAATTGCATGAAACCATGAATAATACTAATCAACTATGTGTATCGAGCTATAACTCTGGAGGATTTGGATTAGATAAGCAAGAATTTATTAGACATCTTCAATTATTTTCCGACATTGTGTGCATTCAAGAACACTTTGTTTTAAACTCTGGGAGCAGAAAGTACAATAATACAGAAAAAATCATTTCGTCGTGTGAAGACAACTTCAATATGTTCATTACACCAGCTGTAAAGGATATCAATGTTAACAAAGGGAGGATTAATCACAATGTGGAAGAAATGTTTATCAAAATATGTTTCACAAATTAAATGTGAAAACTTCAGAATTCAGGCAACAAAGTTTACTTTTCAACAAAGTTCACTCCTTCTTATCAACTTGTATTTGATGAACGACCCTCAACATGATTTTAATGATCAAGAACTTCTTCAAACTCTGGCTGAGATCAATGATATTATAAGACAAAATATGCTTTCCAGTGTTCTTATTTGTTGTGATCTAAACTGTGACTTTAGAAGAAATACTCAGTGAGCAATCTAAATTATCAAGTAATATGGAACCAAGCTCATATTAATCAGAATATTCAAGAAATTGATTATACTTATTCAAATACGATAAATGGGATCACTCATTGCTCCAAAAGAATATTTTTTGATAACGTTACGTTTTATCTTAACTTTTCCAATATAAACTCTTTTAATTACGTTTAGAAATTTTACTAAAATGCACCTTTTCTTACGTTACGATTTATCGAAACGTTATTGTGAAAACTTTTTTGTTTCACTTTTTTACAACTGACAATCAAAACTGTTTATTCGTTTAATTTCTAAGAAAGATTTGAAAAAAATGTTCTATACGTTGCGTTGTTCAAGCCTTAATGTTTCTAACGTTAGACTTTATTAAAATAATATTGTTTCTAAATGAAAGCATTGCAAGATTTTTTCCGTGATAATTACATTTTTTAACTGTATGTTGCTGTTGTATTGTTAACCTTTTTAGAGAATGTGTATGCATTATGCAATATAAAGATGTTATAATATTATTATTTTTAACGATTTTTAAAATTTGTAAATGAAAGTTTTAAGCATTAGACTTTCAACTCAAAGTGTGTCTTTAAGGGACTAGAGACGTAATTTCAAGTGACCTTCCATTTATGGAGTGCATGTCCAGTAGGGGTGATCAATATTGGAATAGAGCCAACCGCCCACCGGAAGTCGCTGCGTTTTCACCGTAAGACCACAAACAAAAATTTTATTTTTTTATTTTCATGTTATACATCATTTTCTTGGAAATTCAATGCTAAATTCAAATCTGAAAAGTGTTTAAAAAAATAAAAATTGAGTGAGTTACAGCTAAAAAACTCATCAAAAACATTAAAAAGTTATAAAACTGGAATTTAGTACCGTTATTTGGCCATAACTTCTTTGGATTTTAATATATTTAAAAATGGTTGTCGAATCTGAATTTAGCATGAAATTTCCAAGAAAATAATGTATCATATTTATCTTTTGAAATATTTTTTGGCCTTACGGCGATATCTCCAATATTAAATTGTCAATTCTCAACCCTATGGAAAACACTCCTAAATTTCAAATCATCAATCAGATAAAAGTTTACACATTATCATTGGGAATCGAGCATGGCCCTCTTTAAATGGAAGATCACTTGAAATTATCATCGTTTATTTGACGAGTTTAAAAAATAGACATGTTTTGGGACACTTCATTAAATGAGTTAAAATTCGGCAAGGCAAACCACTTTTGCATGTGGAGCAGTGGTTCTAAATTATTTTAGATTAGTTTAAGGTTAATTTTTTCTTTTTTACGCAATGCAGACTGACCCTTTTTTTCTATCTAACAGAATTCATAGTTTAAAATATCTAAGGTCTACAATATTGGGTAGCAAAGATATCGGGATTAGAAATATAAGTTTGTGAACAACTCAATTCCTTTAGACTATCTTATCTAACAGAAGTCATAGTTTGAAATATCACCAGCTTGCAAAGATGTAGAGATAGAGAATTATAATTAGTGGCGAATATTTAGTTTTTGTGTTTTTTTTACAAAGTGAGTAAAAAAGCGGCATTAGCTTTAATTTACAGACCACAATGAAAATGTTTTCAGAGTTCATGTTTGGGGGTAAAAATATCAAATATAGTAAGACAAGTGCAAACAATGCGAAATAAAATTATTTAACAATTTTTTCTTTTTAAAAAAAATCGATTAAAAAATCAGTTTTTTTTCTATTCTAAAGTTTCATAAAAATCTATTGATGAATAAGACATAACACGCATTATCCAATTGATAAAATTTTATTGCATTTTAGTTAGTATCTACATTTCTAAATTTTTCAACCTAAAACATGATTCATGCCAACTGAAGTTATGATTTCAATTAGTCAAATAAATATGAAACCCAGCAATTGTGTTTGTTCACAGACCCGTTCCACTAAATAAGTTGATTTTTTTACAATTAGGAAATCATTTGCTTTATAACAGAAAATGCATATGTAAAATTTCTTAATGTCGTCTTCCTTTTCCAGAGTTTTAGTGGGTTTTATCAAACAAGATGTCCAAGAAACATTTATAAGATTTGAATTTTCACTAATAGCATGTTACAAAAAAACTCGTTTACACTTAAATTTTTTTTTTTGATTTACTAATCCCTTTATCTTTCCAACCCGATGGTTTAAACCTTGTATATTTCAATATTAATGGTCTATGACATCGGGTTGCAAAGATATATTAAATGAAAATTAGAATTTTGGCATAAACTCATTTTCTTTGAACTTGAAATGAAAAACCATAAGTCTTTGCTCTTATAATCATCAGTCGAATCTCTTACATTGATATATTAGAGACGTTTCGAAATGTTTTGATTGACAGAATTATTGTTACACTTTTGAAATTAAAACTCAGCCCTCATAGTCTAACGTTTTATGAACAACATTTTCATCAGACATATATCTAACGTTAGACTAATCAATTTAGTATTCAGAGAAAAGTTATGAAACATTATGATTTACAGAATTACATTTTTTTTAATGTTATACGTTACATTATTGAAATTTATACTCTTAAAAACTTTCATTTCCTGATTATTAAAATAATAACCCATTTCTGCAACGTTGAATTTTTCATTATACTGTAAGGGAAAACGTTTCAAAACGTTTTCATAAACAGTAATGCATTTTTCAGTTATACAACGTTACACTTTTTATAAGTTGAACTTTGAAATAGAAATCCTTTCGTTACGATATTCAATCAAATCACAATTCATTTTTCAAATGTTAGACTTTCAAGCTCCCCTTGGAAACAAAACATTTCTTTACGTTATGGCCAAAAAAATTGTAGATATTAGAAAAATAACGTTACATTTCCACAAAATGCTAACGTTGGGTGTATATTCCTCTAACGTTAACGTTTAATGTTAACGTTAGGTATGAGCTCCTATAACGTTAACGTTTAACGTTTACGTTATATAGAATATATACAAACGTTACACATTATTGTGACGTAACGTACAAAAACGTACATTTTACGTTACGTTACACTATCGTTGACATCTCTAGAAGATATGTGAACAATTTGCAAACTTATTTTCAATGAAATTTAGTACTAACAATGTAGTTGAAAAGTCTAAGACTAAGTGTATAATCTTTACAAAATATCCGATCGATACTGTAAACATTTTGCCCATTTATCTTAATGATGTACCATTACCATATGTTGATCATGTAAAACATATTGGATGCACGCTACAAACAGATAATTCATTTACTCGTGATATAAATCAGAAACGTGGACAGTTTATTGCTAAAATTCATTCCCTGAATCAAGAATTTTACTTTGCAGATTCAACAGTTTTGATTAAATTATATAACCTTTATGCAACGAGCATATATGGATCCAATTTATGGAATTTATTTTCGAATGATGTGTTTAGAATTTATTCGTCTTGGAACACTGCAGTTAGAATTGTGTTTAAATTACCAAACACTTGTCATAGATATTTTATCGAACCAGTGTCTCAGTCATCTCATTTAATGACCATGTTCTGCAGTAGATTTGTTTCATTCATTTCTTCATTAGAAAATTCATCAAAAATTTGTATCAGACTTTTGATAAATCTTTTAAAATTTGATCAAAGGTCAGTAACTGCAAAAAATCTGAGAAATATTGCAGACAAATGCAACAAAGATTTGAATATTATCGACAAACGTATTGTAAAAAATTGTATGATATTTCAAGAAATACCCTTGGAAGAAGAATGGAGGATTCCATTTTTAAATGAATTAATTTCTGCAAAAAAACAATAAGATTGTTATCAATGGAGTTGACCAAGCTGAGATTGACGATATTATTAATTTTATATGCACGACCTAATTACAGTATGATTTTGTTTCTTGAATTTGTATTCATTTTTGATATATTCTCTTATAGTTCTTTTTTCTTCTGTTTAATTGTACCAATTATTTAAATTGTGTACGTTCACGAAAATAAATAAAATATTTTCAAATACTTACCTATTTACTTTTAGTATCTCTTCTAATTTTGTCTTGTCTAACTCTATTTCTCTGGTATAAACTCGAGAGCTCCTAATTAGGATTTTAAAAAAAACTGTTTCTAAATAATATAAAGAATATTTATAAACGGTTGCTTTGAAAAAGAAATTAATTATTAAAATTGTATACAAACCTACAAGTTTCAAGCGCTTCATCAAGTTTCTTTTTTAACTCCTGATTCTCAAGTTCCAAGTCTCTATGTAAGCTATTAGGCCAATTTTACCATTTTTCTAAATCTATAAGTATGTCTATTGTGTAACTGTACCATTAGTAATTTTTTATCAAAAGAAAGTTTAGCTGACTAAAAGAAAGGATTGTCTGAAATATTATGTCAGAATCAGTGTTTCCAGCGAACAAAACGTTTCGCGAAAAAATACAAATTTTTTTTAAGTTTGATGAAAAGAATTTGACTTCTCTACATTTCTGAGTTTCTGTCGTCCACATACGTTCACGAAAATCCAGCCAGATAGTTGTTTTACAGGGTGAATTTAAAATATTCCGAATTATTTTTATTCTTTCCGTAGTATATTTTATGTTATGTTTTAAGAAAGTGATTCTAACGATTGAGAAAGTATTAATAATTTACAAGCAAATGTATGAATTGTCTCCTAGTTGTGTTTAAATCTTTACAATAGGTCGCTTTATATTTCGAGCGGAATAAATTCCTGGAATTTTTTTTTCGCAGAATATGCGTCGAAATGTTGTATTTTTTAATGAATTTTCGCAAAAATTGTACATTTTTTTATTAAATTCTGTATTTTATCGCGATATTTTTGCATAATGTTTTTTTCGCGAAATCTTCGCATTTCTTATTTCGCGAAACAGATTGAAATGTTCGCATTTTTCGCAAGCGAACGAAATGCGAAAAAATGTCCACATTTTCCCGAAAGTTTTTTCTGCTGGAAACCCTAGTCAGAATCATAAATTACGCATCAATTTATGGTAATATTTGTATTCAATTTTAAAAAATGGATTCTTGACACTTTTCCTATTAAAAAAATGGTCAAGGAATACAAATAAAAACGACAGCTAGAAGTAAATGGGCCTTTTTAATGATGCTGTACTCGCTGAACAGGCGTGTGCGCCTTTTCAATAGGAAACTTTTTAAATAAACTTTCATTTACAAAATCATCAGACGAAAAGAAAATTGATAAAACCAATCAAATGCCCTCTGCAAAACATTAAAAACTGCAATTTAACGAAATTATATTTCTAAATCTAATTTTATTGTTAAATTTCCTGTTATTTGATGTTGGCTGTGTGTTACGTGCGTCCTCATTAAGTGAATTCTCTGCCTCTTTTTCTGCCATTTTCATCAAAATTGGATAAACCAACAATTTTTAAGTCCTGTAAAAAATTAAAGAATGAAAATTCTAAAAAAATTGTCAGACTGATACAAATATTAGCATTGGGCATTGAACAGAATACACTCAGAGAACGAACGAGAGACTTTTTAGAAGAACGGTCAGATCCAACACTTCGAAAACAGGTTGAAGATTTACTTGAAGATCTGGTAGAAGAGCCAATTGGAGAACAAGCAGGATATTTACTTCAAGATCGGGTAGAGTACCAAATTAAGAACCTTACATACTTTTAGTGGAGTGTCTTATATTCTTCTTTGTGGTAATCAACTCATCATTTAGTATTACAATCAGGGGTAGATACAGGGGTGGAGGGCGGCAGGACCTTTGCACCCCATGACGGATTCAGGGGGGGGGGCGTATTCCCCCCTGAGATTTCAGAATAGTTCCTCAATAGCACTTAAGGGAAAGAAAACATAGTGCAAAACAGAAAAAAAAAATATTTTACAAACAATTTTCGCCTGCGGTGCGTCTTTAGGTTCCTGAATCTGGATATTTTTGTTCCAAAATAAATCTACCACCCCCCTCACTTAAATCCTGTATCCGCCCCTGATTGCAATCTCAGTTATATCTTTAAGTTTATCTTTCTCCAGGTTCTGAACTAACTGCTGCGAGTCACTTTAATTCCTCTTCAGTCCCCTGTTCTGATTGATCAGGTTGGTAAGCTGGGTGATTTAATCCTTGAAAACTCACTTCCTCCGCTGCAGAAATTGTCTCATTTGCTGAAAATGTGTCAAATTAATTCTAGATAGAATAAATCACTGCTGCTAATTCAGCTTTTTCTTTCTGTAACCTAATACTGCAGTGTCAGCTCTGGGATCTTTTCCTCAGCTTTCAGTTTTTCATTGGAGTCTTGTGCTTCTTGTTCTTTTTCTTTCTGGATTTTTGACTTTCCTTCATCATCATCTATGCTTTCATCTTAAATATATTCTTATTACTAAAAATATTATCAATTGATATTGGATTTGTCAAAAAATATTTTCATTTTTTTGTATGTGGTTTCTCATTATTCTCTTTTTTTCTAAAACAGGTTTATTCTGGGCTGAAACATATTATGCTTAAATGAATATGTTCTACTTTCGTAGTTGGCCATAGAAGATTTCTTCATCATCATCCTGTGGACGGATTACTGCAATACATATATATCCCAGTTCTGTTTTGAAATAAGAATCTGGTAAATTATGGATCCAATGAACCAGGCAAGAAAAATCCTCTCCAAAAAACCTTCTTTGAACTATCGGATAAAATACTTAAAGTGATCATCCTATGGTAGTGGTGGCTAGTTACCAAGCTTTATAATAGGATAGAATAAAAATGAAACGTGTTAATTTAAACCATATTTAGCTTTGAAAATAAAACAAAATAAAAAACTTTGCAATAAAAATAATTCACGAATACTGTATAGCAGCCCAGTGGCAAGGCTGATGCACATCCAACATTTTACCTTAGTAATACAATTTAAAAATATTTTCTTTTATAAAACATTTTAGAAGTTGTTTATTATAAATATTGTCATGAATATTATTTACCTAGATTTCATGATTGCTTATTCACGCTCCTTCTCCAACTCCCAAATCTTCAGCTGCAGTTTTCTGGAGAACAATTCAACAATTTAAAATAACTTGTATTCTCAGGGTTAATAATCTATAATGACTTTTATCCACAGATCTGGTCCTTATCAAGTGACTGCAGATGTAACTTCAAGTGAGCTTCCATTTACAGTCTGGTACTGGCATGTCCGATTCCCAGCGGTACCCTTTAAACTTTTATTTGATTAACAATGATTCCCATATCCATAATGTCCGATTCCCAGCTTTTATTTGATTAACAATGTTGCAGAGATCTGAAGTACCTTTTCTAGAGAAACAACAATTTAGAACAATTTATTAAAAACATGCAATACTCCACTCACCTCTTTGAGAAAAGAATTAGTTATGACACTATTATTAATATAGACATTAAAGTGACATTTAAAAAATGACAGTTCCTTCGAAATTGAAATTGCCAACCGGAAACCAGTTTTTATGAAATATATGGTTGAATTCAATAATACAAGCAACAAAAAAGTCTATATAAAAAAATCAATATGGGTATCCGGATTATAACACTGAATTCAGACATTTCAAAAACGTAAAAATTCGTTGATAATAAAATAAATTAAAAAAAAATGATTTTTGAGACCAAAATTATACAAAACGTCAATTTTCAAATTGACAACGTATTCAGAATCACTGTCTCCAGACCTATCTTTTGATACCAATACAGACATGTTTATAGAAGAAAAGAGTCAATTGCAGTCCTGGTTTTAGACCTATGAGCCTGAAATTCTGCCAAAACTCTTTAAATTTAAAAATTCAAACACCCATAGTTAAAAAGCATAACCCCCCCCCCCCTCACACACACTTTCAAGGTAGACATTTGTAATAATTATTGTTCATTTCCTAATTTTTGCTTTCAGCTTGAAATCACTTCATCTAATATTTTCTGCCTTTTACCAGTCATTTTAAACCAAAGTTGTGTAGACCAACAATTGGCAAGTTTTCTGAAAAAAATACAAAATAAAATCCAAAATAAAAGCAAAAGCATTTTTCTCAAATATTGATCACAATTTAATGACAATGGAACCCTTTGATATAATATTGAAGGAGTAAGCCGGAAATGTAATCAGGGGGAGTATAAAGGAGAACCAGCGCTGTATGTAGGACTTGTAGGAGAGTAAGAAGGCCTTCTACGAGAGTATTTAATTCTTGAATGTAAGTATGAAGGACTTGTAGGAGAGTAAGAAGGTCTTCCATGAGCGTATGAAGGGCTTCTAGGAGAGTAAAATCGGCTTCTATTAGAGTAGGAAGCTAGGACTTAAAGGAGAGTAGGTAGGACTTGGAGGAGAGTATGAAGGACTTGTAGCAGAGTAAGAAGGACTTGTAGGAGAGTATGAAGGACTTGTAGGAGAGTAAGAAGGCCCTCTACGAGAGTATTTAGGACTTGAATGTGAGTATGTAGGACTTGTAGGAGAGTAAGAAGGCCCTCTACGAGAGTATTTAGGACTTGAATGTGAGTATGAAGGACTTGTAGCAGAGTAAGAAGGACTTGTAGGAGAGTATGAAGGACTTGTAGGAGAGTATGAAGGACTTGTAGGAGAGTATGAAGGACTTACTCCGTATTTTCTTCCGATAGCCTGAAGACTTTTTTTTTGGGTTTCCATTTCACCAACCTTCTTTTTTGTCACTAGCTCATTACTCAGTCTTGCAATCTCAGTTGTATCTTTGAGCTTATCTTTCTTCAGGTTCTGAACTAACTGCTGTGAGTCACTTTCATTCTTCTTTAGTCTTGCAATCTCAGTTGTGTCTTTGAGCTTATCTTTCTTCAGGTTCTGAACTAACTGCTGTGAGTCACTTTCATTCTTCTGTAACTCCCCCTTTAGTCTTGCAATCTCAGTTGTATCTTTGAGCTTATCTTTCTTCAGGTCCTGAACTAACTGCTGTGACTCACTAACATTTTTCTTTAAATCCCTGTTCTGATTGATCAGGTTGGTAAGTTGGGCAATTAAACCATCCTCTCCTGTATCTCCTGAACTCCCCTCCTCAGCTGTAGGAACTGGTAGATTTAATGAGAATTCAGTCAACTTATTCTTGATGGAATCAACAACTGCTGATAATTCCTCCTTTTCCTTCTGTAGCCTAATATTAGAAATGGGCGCGTTCGGCTTTTTTCAATTGTTCAAAAACTTGATTTTGTTCGTTCAAAAAATGATCGTTCATTTTCCATCTATTTCGTTCGTTTTCTCCCTGAACGATTGTTTACTATAATCATTTGTAAAGTAAAATCGGTTGTTCAGTTTTTTAAAGTTATTACGAAAAAAACCGTTAATTCAGTAAAAATACTATCGTTTTTAAAAAAATCGTTTATATTTTTTTCGTTTGTTTTGAAAAACAACTATTGTTTTTTCACTTCTATGAACGATCCAAGTCGTTTGTCCATAGTTTTTTTCTGAACAATACCATTTTTCAGGAATAATTTCAATTATTCTCAAAAATGTTGTTTGTTCAAATGATGCCCATCTCTACCTAATATTGCTTTTTGAAAGATCAGAGTTTTCCAGTGTCAGCTCTGTGTTCCTTTTCTCAACCTTCAGTTTTTCATTGGAATCTTGTGCTTCTTGTTCTTTTTCTTCCTGGATTTTTGACTTTCCTTCATCATCTTTGCTTTCATCTTAAATAGTTTTTTTTACTTTAATACTAAAATTTTTTACATCAAACCTATTGGACTTGTCATAATATCTTCAAGATTTTTATTTTTTAAAGTTATTAAGTAGAAATTAATATTTTTTTATTTTTTAACATTCATCTTTATTTGCATATATCTTTACAAATATCTTTACATTTGATTGCGGATTTTTTTACTTTTAGCTAAAGATTTTGTCTAATGAGAAATCATTATTTAAAGATGGGAATATTACCTGCTGTTGGAACACTTGTCAGGTTTTCAGATTTATCATTGAAAGTTTCAATATCCTTCACCAAATCCACATCCTTCATATCTTCAATATATTCTTCTAAATAAAGTTTTTGAGTTTAAGAAATAAAATTTAAAAGATTTCCTTAGAACAAACCTGATTCATGTTTAATCTTCTTTATCGGAGGATCATTCCTGTCTGTGGTCTCACTACATTTCCTTATTTATTTAAAATTAGATTTAGAAACCATAACAATTTGTAATTTTAGCAAACCTTTTATGATTTATCTGCACCACTATACCTTCCAGGAATTCAGAGTAAGACCTAAATTGACACATTTTATATGTTGTTTATCATCAATAACGTCATAATATTATTTACCTGGATTTATNGGGTGGTAGAAGGGATTTTGACTACCCTTTTATCTCAAAAGCGACACAATTATCTGAGAAAAAAGGATAACATGAAAAGAGAAAAATATGGGATTACTTTTTTCTAGTAAATTCCACTCTAATATATATTCTATTCTCTTTGATCACGGAGATCTTTCCTGGTAACAGGAAGAGCGGACGTGTGATAGAGTTGTAACACTTCTCTTCAAGTCCCTGTTCTGGTTGATCAGGTTGATAAGAACAGCCTTATTGATTGATTGACTCATTTAGTTCTTCTTTGATCTTTGCAACCTCCACACAGAACTAATTGTTTTTCTCCATTGTTTTTCTATATTTAGTTCATCAATCTTCTTCTTAAGTATTTCACTTTTATTTACAAGTTGGTCTTTCTCCAGGTTTTGCTTTAAATCCCTGTTCTGATTGATCAGGTTTGTGCGCTGGGCAATTAAACCATCCTCTCCTGTTCCTCCTGAACACCCCTCCAGCTGTATGAGTTGGTAGATTTAATGAGAATTCAGTCAACTTATTCTTGATTGAATCAACAAACGCTGATAATTCCTCCTTTTCCTTTTGTAACCAAATATTACTTTCTGAGATAATGGAGTTTTTCAGTGTCAGCTCTGTGATATTTTCTTCGGCTTTCAGTTTTTCAATGGAGTCTCGTGCTTCCAACTGTTCCTGAATTATTGGATTGTTGTCTGCATCTGCATCCATGGCATCTAAATAAATTTATTTTTACTGAACATTATCTATCTATGTTTTAAAGTCTTTAAATGCTTGTATAAGAAGTATAGCTAAGGATTTGGTGTTTTTTCATTATATAATAAGTGATAAATGAACACATGGACATGCTTTTTGTCGTCATTGATCTATTTTGATTGGTTTATTCAATAAAGCATATTTATATGATACATACGTTACTAGCTTTACAATTCACGGTGGACTAAGCCAGTGGGGTCGGTCAAATAGGCCTAGGATTAGGCCGGGTACTGTAAAAAGTCTGAACGCGCCATGGGAGTTGTCATGGTTAGCCCTCCGACAGAACTATGTCAAGAAAATTGACCCTTGTCGTATGTTAGTCTGGTTAGGGCGACGTACTGTACAGAATATTGTCATAGGATCTGGTCAGTACACGCTGTTATCTGGCAGGCGGGTACAAACTGGGCAGGTCCTGTTCGAATTCAAATTTACTACGACCCAGAGTGAATTATTGCAACACAATTTGATTTATTTATCATATTTTCATATTTAACAGAATTCTCAATTTATTTGGAGAAAATTAAATACGTACGAGGTCATTAAGGTCAAACACTGGATTCCTTGCTGCTACTGTATTGCATTGGTTCCTAGCTTTCGTTTGATATGCATGAAGCCATAGTTAAAACCATTTCAATTTTAAGGTCATTAATTCTTTTTGTTTCCATGTTTCTCTTTAAATATTTGTCAACTTGTGATTCGAAAAAAAGCTTGCTAACAATTAAAACTTGAATAAAAAGTCGTCTTCACTATATTAATATAATCGCCTACAACCGGATAATTTATAAATGCTGACAATTGAATGCTGCAAAATATTTCAAAATAAAAAAATTATAATTACCTGGTGTTAGAACTGTACTTGCCAAGGGTTCAGATTTGTCCAATATGTTTTCACTTTCTCTTATTATATCCACATCCTTCATATCTTCAACATATTCCTCTAGATTATTCCAAAATTAAAATTTAAAAAAGGAATTACCCTCTCTAATCTTCTAATCCTTACAACTTAGTAACCTGATGTTGTAGGCCCAGTATCTTGCTCCTATAAAAGTGGATATTTTGAATAAGATTGTAATAAACTGTAAACTCAACTGTAATAAACTGGAACCTTACATTGAATACAAAATTGTGCAAACAGAGATTATCTTAATTACTTTTAACTCTTGCTCCAATTGGAAACTTTTGGAGCCTATTAAATTGTTATTTTCAGATCTACGAACCTAAAGTTGGTCTTATTAAATCGCAAATGGTACGTAGATTTAAAAAATTACTAACTCTGTATATATAAATATATAGATGTTACAGCGATATAAAAATAAAACAAATAAAAGTCAGAAATAATAACAATAATAAAAATGTCATACGAATACGTTCAGTGAAGCTGTGAAAGTTCCTTTGATGGTGGCTATACGGACTATTATCAGAACAAATGTACACAGAAAACTAGTTTAACGCGATACTAATGTTTATTAAGAAAAAACTGGTTTGAGTAAAGCAAGTTATGTAATATGTATCAAGGAACTAATGCAAGGAAAGTTATTTCAGAAGTGTACTCATTTTTTGTACTGCATTGTACTGTAAAGTAAACACAAGACGGATGTCAAAGCCCGACATGGAATCCATTTTCACAAAATTAATCTATGAAATATTCTGGTCAAAGGAAACTATTAAGTGAATTATCAAAATTATCAAAATTAAATACTTTGTTCCTCCTCGGATACTAGAAGAACACTGATGCATCTATTTTTGTTTACAATTTCCGCCCAGAGAGAATTCGTTTCAATATGTACACAGGTCACAGAGTATACAGAACCGCAATTAACTTTCCTTGCAATAGTACCTTGATATGTATGAAGAAATAGGGGGGTGGGGGAATTGTGCTCTAGAACTGCAGTACAGTTATAGAGATGATAAAACTAGAGATAGACATTCTTAACCTTGTTATGGTTCAGAAGCAGATCTAACCTAACACTGTTGATCAAATAGTCGAAGTTTGAAATATTAAAATTTTACACTTTTAGGTTGGAAAGACATAGTGATTAGCAAATTGTAGTTTGCGGCGAGGCGAGTAGTCAGAATTCCTTTTTCTGAAAAGCATACCTGGGAAGTTTTCATGTTTAATCTTTTTCTTCAGAGGCCCAAATCCACCACTGGTTCTGGTCTGGCCACATTTCCTTCTTTATTTGAAATTAGATTATTTTTTACTTTAAAATATATACATTCATTTTAGAAAACTGGTTTTTTATGTTGAAAGGAATTGAGTCTTTGCCACAAATTCTGATTTTCTAATCCCTTTATCTTTGCAACCCAACGTCGTAAACCTTAGACATTTCAAACAATGAATTATGTTGGATCAAATAATCTAAGTTTGAAATAACAAAGGTTTAAACCATTAGGTTTCAACGATATTGGGATTGGAAAATTTGAGTTTGTTACAAAGATTCAATTCCTTTGAGATTAGATTGTATTTTGGAAAAAAAGGAACTGAGGCCTAGCCAAAAATTTAAATGTTCTAATCCCTATATATTTGCATATATATAGGGGTTAACAAATCTGAGTTTGTGGCAAGAACTCAAGATTCCTATAATCATACATACAAACCTTTTATGATTTATCTGCACCACAATACCTTCCAGGAATTCAGAGCAAGACCTGCAAGAAAACAAATAAGTTGTTTTATATAATGTTATAAATATTATTTACCTAGATGCGAGATCAAGTTCTTTCTTCAACTCGCAATTCTTTAGTTTCAGTTCTCTTGAGATCAATTCACCAATTTTAAATTATTTGCAGGGGTCTTATTATTTCTATTCTTCTGCCCCCCCCCCCTCTCTTTTATAGAGACAGAGCTGTACCCTTTTAAACCTTAATCTGATCAATAATGTGGAAGATATCGTCGTTTTTACTTTGAAAAGGGTTTAATTCTTAAAACTTTTATCTTTTCTGTTAAAAGAAATCCGCAAGTCACTTTTACAGAGAAACCTAAGTTGAAAATAACCAATTTTTAAAAGAAATGGCACTTTATCAATGGAGAGTTACTTTCAAATTTCATCTACGGTCTCTTTAAAGTGATAAAGATTCACAATGGTACTATTAAACGTTTTATCTAAATAACAATGAGGAAGATATCATCGTACATTTATCGTCACTCTCTGTCATGCATAAATTCGCATCCCACTTTCCGAAAATCCACATTTGAAAATAATACATTTTTAGCTGGAAAAACTAGAATATCTAAATCATCCGTCATTTGATCAAGATTTAAAGGCTACCATATGTTGTTGTGAATCCATTCTAATGGCTATTATAGTACAAATGGAGTTACTTGAAATTACAGCTTCAGGGAAAATGGTGTCTAACCCCCCTTCCTCCTCTCTTAAGAGAAGTTTCTTTTAAGGTTTAACTATGTTTGATCTGAGGCCGAATTTAAAGAATTTGAGCCGCAGCTTAAATTTAAGCCGCGGCTCAAATATGGTTGGTTCCATAAAATTGTATTCAATGTTTCAAGATTCCAGCCGGCCCTCAATTGAAACCGGTTTTTGGCGGATTTAAGACGCGGCTCAAAATCATTAACTTCGGCCTCTGATTAAATTATTTTAGTTGTCACAAGATTTAGAAATATTTATGGTAGTTAAGTTGTGAAGGGTTCATGGCAGAATATTTTTAATGATAATTTCCTAATTTCAACTTTCAACTTGAAATCACTTTTTTCAATACTGAGAATATTTTCTGCCCCTTTTCCTGCCATTTTATAGTAAAGTTGCATAGACTCTTTTACTAGTTTTCTAAAAAAAAGTTATATTAAAATACGTAACATCATTATGTTAAAAATAGTTATGGTAATTTTATTGCACATTTGATAATTCTATATTCGTTCTCAAAAAAAGAAATCAGGCGCGTAGTGGAGGTTTAGCCTAGTGGGGTGCACTTTTGGCGCGCGTAAGCGCATTGAAATTTTTTGTGCACCCCCCTAAAAAACCGTATTAAGAAAAAAAGTCATCTGACCAAAATTACCCATTATACCATCTTGTAGTAAAAGATCCAAAAACCTTAAAAAAAAATATTTTTATTTTTTGAATATATATCATAAATTATATCATAAATTATATCGTGACTAGATTACACTGGAGACAGTATTATTTAAAACTTTTTTCACGAAACCTAAATCTGTATTTTGTAACGCTTTGTGAGAAAAAAGATGTTTCAACACATTGTTGATAGAAAACGTTCTCAAATTTCCCTTTATAAATATTCCTTAACCAATATTTATATACATATTTATGATGAAAATTGTTCAATCCATGGGTTAAAATAAGAAAAATAAAAGAAATTTTGGTAAAAAGTTATTGAAATATGCAGCTGGACCGAATAGGCTGAATTTTTTTTAGAAAAGACTAAAATGTCTCATTTTTTCAAAATTCTTTTTTTTTAATTTCATGGGCAACGCCAGGCACTTCAGCTTGTATATATTCATATAGGATCCGGATCCAAGCAAAATTTTATTTTTCAAATGGCGTTATTTTTCCTTATAAATATCCTATTTTGAATTGTTTAAAAGATTTAAAAAATATTCTCAGGGTCTCAGGTTTCTATCTTGCTCAAATCTTAACTCAGACCTCCACCATGCACCCCCACCCTCTATAATAGTTAGAGAGGGGGGGAGAAGTTTCCCTTTTCCCCATTGCAAATTCACTGCACTGAAGATATTCAAATCAGACCTAAGGAGTTGCCTGAAGGCAGATATTCTAAACGCCCTCCTTCTACTAAAAGCTAATTTGAATTAGACCTGTTTTTTCTCATCCAATAAAGTAAAAAAAATCATTATCATTTTGTGCAAACTAGTAGAAAAATAGTATAAAAAAATGTTAAATCCGGATCCGGATCCGCATCAAAATTAAATGGATCCTAAGTACTGCCTTTGATACTTGTCACACAATTACAGTCTGCAACATTTAAATAAAAGAATTGAATCTTTGCAACAAATCCCAATTTTCTAATACCTTTATATCTACAACCAAATTATGTAAACCTTTGACATTTCAAACTTTGATTGTTTCAAATAACATAAGTCATAGTTTGATATATCTAAGGTCTACAACATTGGGTTGCTAAGATATATGGATTTAAAAATTAGAGTTTGTGACAAAGATTCCTTTGCGTAGCGATTTTTCAGAACTAATTAGAAAATTGTTTTGAAAGGCCTGTTTCTCCAAAGACTCTCTCTGAGTTTGACCAAATTTATGCGTAGAATTTGCGTAGATTTTCTTACGCGTTTTCTTTACTTTTAAAGACTCTTTGTGCTTGTCTATATATTAAATTCAGGCAACAGTTCGCATAGGCAATTTAGAATGTCTTCAGGCATAAATACCGGTTTCTGACTCTGAGTTCTTTGCAAATAGAGAAGGGTTCAATGAATGCATCAACCAAGGTTCTATATTTCTAACCTTGGCATAAGCATAAACACACTGTGTTGAGTCTAAAAAAAACTTGCCTGTTTTAATGTACAAGTTTAATTACTTTTTTCTACATTATATTCTGGGATTACAAATATTTTATCCAAAACTTTTTTATCTGTATATCTGTTTATCTGTATATCTGTATACCTGTTTATCTGTATATCTGTATATCTGTATATCTATATATCTGTATATCTGTATATCTGTATATCTGTATATCTATATCTGTATATATCTGTATATCTGTATATCTGTATATCTGTATATCTGTATATCTGTATATCTGTATGTCTGTATATCTGTATATCTACATATCTGTATATCTGTATATCTGTATATCTACATATCTGTATATCTGTATATCTGTATATCTGTATATATGTATATCTGTATATATGTATATCTGTATATCTGTATATCTGCATATCTGTATATCTATATCTGTATACCTGTATATCTGTATATCTGTATATATGTATATCTGTATATCTGTATATCGGTATATCTGTATATCTGTGTATATGTATGTCTGTATATCTGTATATCTGTATAACTGTATATCTGTATATCCGTATATCTGTATATCTGTATATATGTATATCTGTATATCTGTATATCTGTATATCTGTATATCTTTATATCTGTATATATGTATATCTGTATATCTGTATATCTGTATATCTTGTATAAACTTTGCTGTTTACTCTAAAAAATGAAAAGTTATTAAATTACTCTCTGTCTAGCTGGTTGCAAATTTAAATTTAATGACCCTGGGAGGCCTATACAGGGTAGCATTCAGATGGATCAGAGTGGAAAGTTTGCAAATTCTTAATTAAGGCGTATATCTGTATATCTGTATATCTGTATATCTGTATATCTGTATACCTGTATACCTGTATATCATCTGTATATCTGTATATCTGTATATGTGTATATCTGTATATCTGTATATATGTATATCTGTATATCTGTATATCTGTATATCTGTATATCTTTACATCTGTTTATATGTATATATGTATATCTGTATATCTGTATATCGGTATATCTGTATATCTGTAAATCTGTATATCTGTATATCTGCATATCTGTATATGTGTATATCTGTTTATCTGTATATCTGTATATTTGTATATCTTTATATCTGTATATATGTATATGTATATCTGTATATCGGTATATTTGTATATCTGTATATTCTGCGCCGGATTACAATCCTGCGAATTCGTTTCTCTTAGTACAGCAATTTTTGATACATAAGCTTCATCTAAAATTGTCAGGCATATTCCCTTTTGAACTTTAAAACGCGCCTGGTACGAGTGAGCGCAAAATGAATCGAGAGCTCGTGAAGGAGCGGTGGACGAGCAGAGCGCGGCACCAAGTCTTCATCGGAGCCTGTAAGGCCTTTAAGCCTTCACTTCCATATCATTCGGCGTAGTAATAGTAACCTTAAAACTTATATTATATTTCAGATAAAAATGAGAATGAGAACTGTTCGATTGGAGAGCTCTCATACGGAATTGTATAAATTCTAAAAGGTTGAATTTGTATAATTCTTACATGGAGGTCCCCCGTCAAGCAATTCTCTAATTTTCTTTTATATATTATAAATTTTCTTTTCAAAATTTGTAACTCTGAATTAAATTTTTCAAATTACAATTTCAATTTAAATTCAATTCAAATTCAATTTCAATTTCAAATTTCATTTTTTTTTGTGTCCGGAAGTACACATAAAATATAATTTTGTATTTAATAGTTAAGTATTTGGTCTAGCCTAATTAATAGGCAGAGGGAACACGTACCTCTATTTGAGCTAAGAAACTAGTTAAGTTAGGATTTAGTTAACATTGTAGTTAATAGTTAAGTATTTACTCCAGCCTAATTAATAGGCAGAGGGAACACGCACCTCTATTTGAGCTAAGTAACTAGTTAAGGTAGGATTTAGTTAAAGTAAAATTAATAGTAAGGTATTTAGTCCAGCCTAATTAATAGGCAGAGGGAACAGGAACCTCTTGTTAAGTTAGGTAGTATTTATAATGTTTTAGACCGAGAGAACGAGAATTGATAACCTACAGAGAACGAGCTCCTGGTAGTTAAAGTTGATATTTATTGATTTTTATAATAGTTAATAAAATCCTATCTACAAATATGTACCTTGCTGGCTACTATACAGCATAAAATGATTCCCTGGTATTAACCAGAAGTCTCTTTTAAGAGAAAATATAAATTCTGTGATATACAGATGATTCCCTGGTATTAACCAGAAGTCTCTTTTAAGAGAAAATTTAAATTCTGTGATATACAGATATAGTTCAGCTAAAGCTGAATCATGTTCACAAATAGAACTATTGTCTAATTGAGATTAAATAATCTATATTGAACTTGAGTGAAATTACGGCTTTTGTTTTATAATCCCCACATATATTTACTTTTGATTTACCTTCTTCCTTGATTTTAATATTTATTTTGAATTGGAAATATCATTACTCTAAAATAGGACTCTGACCATTTCATGAACTCTAAGTTTTGAATAAATTTGCTTATTTAATCAATAATTTGGAAAATTTTATCTTTATATACTTAAATTAATAAACTTTTTATTTTCGGTTATACATTTTTGACTTTACATTTTACCTTTCTGAAAATATCATATAAAAAATCCTTTTATAAATTTATTTTAATCCAACTTCTGATTGCCAGTATTTTTAGCTTCAGATTGCCAGTCTTTCAACTAACGTTTTACTATTCTCCACACAGTTTTATAATTGGAAAAGTCGGACACATTTAAGTCTAAATATTTAAATGTTTTATTAGCGTTTAATTTTAACTATTTTTAATCATTTCTGCAAGCGCTAAATTTTGTAAAACTCCTTTAAGTCTGTATATCTACATATCTGTATATCTGTATATCTGTACATCTGTACATCTGTATATCTGTATATCTGTACATCTGTATATATGTATATATGTATATATGTATATCTGTATATCTGTATATCTGTATATCTGTATATCTGTATATCTGTATAACTGTATATCTGTATATCTGTATATCGGTATATCTGTATATCTCTATATATGTATATCTGTATATCTGTATATCTGTATATAAAGAAGGGATATTCATGTAGTTTTTCTCGAGAGTTGGTCCCAACATTTTTCAGTACTTTGGGGTGTATATGGGTATGATTATCTCCTGAATTTAGTCTCCCAAAAGAACCAGTGATATTCTTGAGAACAATATCGCCCAAAATAGGAGGAGCATTGAATGGGATAAATTGGGAGATAAATTTCTCAAGAATTTAGCCTCCAGAAAACATGGAGAAAATGCATTAATTATGCCACTAGTTTTAAGTGTATTTTGACACTTAGTGGGGGCGAAAATTCACGAGAGAAAAGTTACTGAAAAACGAGTGTGTGGTCCGAGTTTTTCTTCAAACCATTTCCCCTGAATTTTATCACAACTTTCTGCCCCCTTATTCAAATTTTTAAATTCTTATGATGTAAATCCTTAATATAAAAACAAAATCAAAAAGGTTAAAGCATTGTTATGAGTTAAGAACAAATTTATATTTTTGAATTGATAAATAATTAAACTTATTCTCCAATATATCAACACTTGTTTTTTACCCAAATATTGTTTATTTCGAATCATCTATTTATAAAAACTTTCTTTCTGAGTTTTTATGTATTTAAACTGTTGAAATTTGATCCCTAAAATGTGTCTCAAATTGGGTTTATTATTGTGTGACAGGGTTGTTTATTTCAAAATCTTAGACATAGATNAACTCAATAAATCTCAATGAAACTCAATGAAACTCAGTGAAACTCAAAGAAACTCAAAGAAACTCAATTAAAGTAAAAAATCCCCCTCCCCCCCACTAAGAAAAGATATGTCCCCCAGATCTGATGACAGGGGTTGGAGACGGTTATGGGTATGTAGACTGGGGTGTATACTCTCTCCTTAAATATTTGCAATTGAGAGTGTCGGCTATTTTTCTTTTGAATTTCAAGCTTTTTATTAAACAAAAATTTTTTTAAAGTATACTAAGATACATTTTAGTGCAGTCACAGTGTAGGCGTATTCCTCAACGGTTCAAAACTTCAACAAATTTAGTTAAAGGTTTACACAGCGATGAAAAAGATTTAAGTGACAATGCATGAGTTGCTATATGAAAGGTAAAAAGGGTAATTTTATTCTTGTCTATTATTCTGTTTAATGTTTATCAATACATTATTCATCTTTACTATTGAAATGAATTGTGTTTTTTAATAACTTAACCAACAAATTTAAAAAAAGGAAAGCTTTATTATTGACAAAAATTATGTAAAATATGTTTTGAATTATAAAAAAGTGACTGCATCTTATTACAAAGTAATTGAGTCTTTGCCACAAACGCGACTCTGATTCTCAAATTCCTATATCTTTGCAACACAATTTCGTAGATCTTAGATTTTTCATACTTTAAATTTTGTTAGATAAAAATAATTTGAATTCAATGATATAAATGATTTAAAATGCCTGGTAACAAAGATATAGGAATTAGAAAATTTGAGTTTGTGGCTAAAAAAAATCATAGTTTGAAATGGTAAAGTAGACCTTTCGGGTTGCAAAGATGTAGGGAGAAAAAATCAGAGTTTGTGTCAAAAACTCAGTTCCTTAAACTCATTGACTTTAGAGCTAGTAACATTTTTAGTTTTTAGAAATATCAAATGTCTCCAATGAAAGGATGCAAAGTTGTAAAGTTTTTGAAAATATAGTTTTTAAATCAAAATTTTGGTTCAAAAGAAATTTTAAATTATAATGTTCTTAGTCTTTGCAGCAGAGAAGAGGAGCAAAAGTTCCTGAGAAGATCAATAAGGCTTAATGAAACCAACCCAGGTAAAATATGTTATTACTTATTCCACTGTACTTTTTTAGCTATAAACTAATACTAATACAGTACAGAGTTTGTGTAGGATACAAAGTATGTGTAGGATACAGAGTTTGTGTAGGATACAGAGTTTGTGTAAGATACTGAGTTTGTGTAGGAGGATAAAGAGTTTGTGTAAGATGCAGAGTTTTTAGGATACAGAGTTTGTGTAGGATACTAAGTTTCTGTAGGATACAGAGTTTGTTTAGTATACAAAATTTGTGCAGGATACAGAGTTTGTGTAAGATACAGAGTGTGTGTAGAAAACAGAGTTTGTGTAGGATATAAAATTTGTGCAGGATACAGAGTTTGTGTAGTATACAAAATTTGTGCAGGATACAGAGTTTGTGTAAGATACAGAGTTTGTGTAGGATACAGAGTTTGTGTTAGATACAGAGTTCGTGTAGGATAAGGGTTTGTGTAGGATACAGAGTGTGTGTAGGTTACAGAGTTTGTGTAGTATTGAGAGTTTGTGTAGGATACAGAGCTTGTTTAGGATACAAGGGATTGGAATTAATTGACAACTTGAAAATCGTCATTGATATCCAATAATTGACAATTGATAAAGATTAAATTGTATGAGCTTGGTGGCCTTATTGCTTTTTATCTTTAAAATTTACAGAGATATCAAGCATTTTAACAATTTCGTCGTTTATTATTAATTATATGCCACTCTTAAAATAAAGGGTAACTTCAAATTACGCCTAGTAAGAAAAATGTTTAATAAAAGATGAAAACTTATTAAATTAATTTTTTTAGTAAATGCCTGTTTGAACTGAAAGCCCTGCGTCCGGGAAGCAGCAGAGGAAAGCAAGCAAAAAGTGAGGAAGCAGAGAAGGCGAAATTAATGGAACAAACAATGTGAAAAAGATGTTTTCATTAATATTTCTCTCATTATTTTTTCTTTCGACTTTCTACCCTCTAAGCTTTCTTCCCCTTTTTCCCTGCTCCTCCCTCCTAATCCTATTTTCATTAAAATATACCCCAATCATCCTTTTAAACATTAACCCCCCTCCTCTCCTCTTAATTAACCTCATTATTAACCCCCCACCCCTTGTCCTCATCATCATTATTCAATTTCCACCCCTCTTCTCCCCATCACCCTCATTATACCCACATCATTAACCCACCTCCCTCCCTCCTTCTAATCATCCTTATTATTACCCCCCCCCCTCCTCCTCTTCCTCATTATTATCT